GCGGTTGTATAGACGATAGATTACGGCTTTTATAGACTAATAATGTCATTTTTTCTTACGTTATTTAACTTTTATCCACTTCTTAATTGATTTTGATCGTTCTCCTTGATTAGGTAATAGGCAGATTTTCATGCTCACAAGTTGTGTCACTCCAAGCAAAAATATTCCCGTCATGCTTCCAATGAACCATTTGCGTCAACTAGTAGAGTTTTTGGAAACAAGCAAAGGGAAATAGAATAGAAAGTGTAATAGCACCAAGAAAGAAAGAGAGAAGCAACTTAAGTAAAAACCTCAGGAAATGAGTAAAAATTGAAGGTACAAATACTCACTACTAACTACCATCATTTAGATGACATATATATATATATATATATATATATTTATCATATCTGCCTAAGGCAATAGCTACCACCGAGCACTACTAGTAAAACTTTATCCCGCGGTAATGTTATCGGGGCTGATAATAATGTACGCTGAGTATCTGGAATCTCTAGAAGAGATAAAAGGGGTATCATGTCATGTAGTGACATTGGGAGGATATTGGATGGTGAATTCCAGGCCTATCTATCGAACAGGAGGTCCCTTATAAATACCTAGTATATCACGGGTGCAGGTAGTTAGTATGGTACTTGTGTGCTTGGCTCGAAAGTAAATCATTGATGAAGATATAAATATTTGCTGCCGGAAGATATTTCCCGGGTTCGGTCTCCATAAGACATAAGAATTTTCGCCCAATTCTAATGTCTCTATATGGTTTCGGGGCCCAATTTAGTAGACTATCCCGGTTTTCTTTAATCCGCAGAGGAATAAGAGGGGTCTGGCACAGGGGCATCCGTGATGCAATATCTCTACGACTGAGAGGTAATTGTAAAGTGACCTTGTGATTCCTCGTTCTTGGCCATATAATCTCTTCGGAGAACTTTGACATAGATTATTTACGGCTGTTATTTGAATCACTCAGTAATCTACGCAAAGATCCAGACATCTCTAATTCAGCCAGAATGCGTAGACTAGACATGCTGGGGGTTTTTTTCCAAACGTACGAAGCGTCTCACTCGTTAGTATCTCTCGACATACTCGACGAGTCATGTCTCAGACCATCACGACTCCGACAATATCTTTGAGATTCAGATTGGTATCTTGCTTCGAGAGAGCGTCAACGATGCGTCCCAATAATTGACTGAAGTCACTGTCATGAAACAAACCCGATTGCTACCGGGGATAAGTCAATGCAGGTAGGGGAAGTCGAGAGTTGAGATCTTCCAACTCGGTTAATTAGTAACTGCTTCGAGCCAAGCAGCTAGTCGTTCGCCGGCTATACTTTTGATGTGGATTTGGAGCAGTCGCCAAGCTCACTTTTAACACCTTGCCGTGCGCAATCTCGCCTAAGTGAAGGTCTGAGCAACTCGTGCAGAAGTTATCCGACCTGAGGCCAGCAAGACATCGGTCACGGGATCGCTTAGTCATTTCTCTGCGGGGAAGGAAGTGGGAACTAATTCTCCGTCCAGGTACTAGTTCGAAGATCTTGCCCAAATGCTGCTGTTTGAATACGTCAAGCGGGTGTTAAGGTTTGGAAAACAGCCTGTTGTCTAATTATTGTGTGGATGTTTCATGGCCGTCATGGAAGTAGTCCTGTGTACTGAGCTGGTGTCTTGACTGATTGTCCTGCATGCAGTGAAAGACGGGTAGATGGTGGGGAGTCCATTCCTCGTATAAGTTATGACAGGGGCATAGGGTGAAACAGTCGTTTCCTGTATATTGTCTGTTAATCAACCAAGCTTTACAGCGCGGATATTGGACAGATAGATATTTCACAGGCTCCTGTGTAGGGTTTTCTGCAGCTGCCGCAGATGGTCTGCTAATGACGAGACATACTAGTACTCCGTCCCCTGCTGATCCATCATGATGCTGGTGCCGCGGCGCCGCTCGCTTCGAGATACATATTGAGGATGAGCAGCGCACGGATTGACTGGAATGAACCGCGTCGAAGCGAGATGCCCGTTGTGTCGAATTCCACGGCTATAGTTGCCTCTTAACGGCGTTGCTGTCGAGTCCGAGCCCTGATCAGCGAACAGGGTCGGATAAACAGGGTCTTGCAGAGGGTGCAAGTGGGGAGATCGTGAGGTGGAAAGGGTCGTCATTTGAGGCTGGGAGAGACGATCGGGGACGGTCACAATAAATGGGCAGCTGGAACTGGTTGGCACAGCAGATGAAGACCCTGGCCAAGGGTTGACAGGGCCCATTGAGAGCCGCGGACAGCGGCGAGGGGGTGCGTGGCCTGTGGATGCGGCAGAGGGAAACAGCCAAACAGAGTGGTGGATGGCATTCCCACCGCCAGCCTGATCGGCCACCTTGTTCCGCCAATAGTCAGCCGTTATCTGCCACTCCGTCCCGTGCCTGGAGCAGAATAGTCTCTCCGCCTACTGTATCCGGCAAGGCAGGTGGCTGCCATCCCCGATTCTGCCGGGAAGGTCTCCAGCAAGTTTACGTTCGCTCGTCTCCATCTCTCCATCTCTCCATCTCTCCTGGCCGATCTGGCGGCCTGGCCGTGTGTCCCTCGTTCCTTTTTTTCTCCCATTATAATATCTTCCGTGATTTCCTTCTTTCCTTCGATTCTGTCCCTTCTAGCGTTCTCTTTCTTTGCTTCTTTCTTTCAGCCTATTCCCGCTTGTCTGCCTCTTGTTGTCAGACACCTCCGTGTGTGGGGGATTCTTTTCCACTTCCACTTTGCTTACGAGTCCCCTACCTTACTAGGAGGGGTATATCAGTCGCTCGCTTAACAAACTTTGCTTGAATCATATACTATATACCCTTTAATTTTCAACAGCTCGTTCAGGCGTTCAGCTCTCTTTCCTTCCCACATGGCTCGCCTTCTTTTCGCCGCCTGCAGCGCCCTGCTGCTGGCCACGCAAGCAGCCGCCGACACCTTCCCCTACAACACCTACCGCACCGCTCCATACACCCCTCCCCAAATCAAGGTCACCAAGTCCGGCCAAACAGATCCGGGTTATATCTTTGTCGGCCCCCGTGGAAATCAACCGCAAGGAACGGCTGCCCTGATATACGATGAGGACGGCCACTTGATCTACCAGGGGCCGGAGGAGGTAACGGCCAACTTCAAGGTGCAGAAACTCTTCAACGAGGACGTCATCACCTTCTGGGCCGGAAACATGATGGATCTGGGCTTTGGATACGGCACGGTTCATATTCTCGACAACACCTACCGCGAAATCTACACCGTCACCCTCCAGGACAACTTCGTCTCGCCCGACGGCGCCCCCAGGGATTCGTACATCGATCTACACGAGAGTCATGTGACGGATCGCAACACTCTCTTGGTCACGGCCTACAACGTCACTCAGCACGACTTGTCCTCCATCGGCGGCAAGGTGGATGACTACATGCTCGACGGCATGTTCTTCGAAATCGATATCGCGACCAACGAGATTGTGTATCAGTGGAGCGCATTGGACCACCTTCAGGACATCCCCCTCGAGGCCTCCAAGCAGGGCTTGGGGGCAGATCAGGGGACGCAGGACAAGCCCTGGGACGCTTACCACATCAACTCCGTCGAGCTGATGGATGAAGGATACATCATTTCGCTGCGTCACTACTGGTCCGGCTTTTATGTTCACAACAATGGGTCAGTGATGTGGCAGCTCAGTGTAAGTGGAATCATGTTCGCTCTGGTCGTAACCTACTTGCTAATATTTGATAGGGTGAACGCAACGCCGGCGATTTTGAGATTGATGACGGTGCCATCTTCTCCTGGCAGCACGACATCCGTGTCTACCACCAGACGGAAGACAGCATGCAAATCAGCTTGTTCAACAACGCCAACACACCCACGGATACTGTCGACGCAACCACCGGCTTGAATCTGCACGTTGACCTGACCAACCGCAAGGTGTCGACGCTGCGCACGCTGAAAGACTCGAGTGACGTGATACACAGTGTCAGCCAGGGCAGCTACCAGCTTCTCAGTGAGGAGACGTCTCACGTTGTGCTCGGTTACGGTTCCATCTCGAAAGTCAAGGAGTATGACGCCCACAACAACGAGGTGATGACGGCGCAGTTCGGTGACGACAATGCGGTGGCGTCTTACCGCGGCTACAAGTGCCAGTGGAAGGCGACCCCCTTCTGGCAGCCCGCAGTGGCGATCGTGCGGACGACGTCGGATGCGGCTACTCTGTTTATGAGCTGGAATGGAGCTACGGAGTATGACAACTGGGCCATCTACACGGCCTCGTCGGCAGATGCGGTTGACCCGACATTTGTCACATCGATCAAGCGCAACGGGTTCGAGACCACGGCGCATGTGACGGGACTGCGCACCAACTGGCTCCAGGTGGTTGCTCGGAAGGGTAACATTCCTCTGGGGACATCCGCTATGGCGTACTTCTAGACAGCGTTCTGACGCACAAACGACGGTTGGGATGGTGTTGAGCGAGGGTCGGGGTGTACATGCAGATTTTTATTGTATATATTGATGATTCTAAGTTTTGTAAATAGTATACCCTTTACGGCAGCATTCTACTTGTTGCTAGCGATGATGAATAGAGCTATATGAAGTCCATCTAGCTTCACATACCTTATTATTTTGGGAAATTTGGCCAACACACACTGCAAAAGAATGGCATCCTCTGACGGCCATATAGTCCTCCCTTCCAGATCAGACGTGACACGATGTCCCGTCCATCACGCACTTGTGTGTCCCATCCGGGTCTCTTGGGAGGACCAGTGCGACAGCACCGGCAGAGATGTGATGACCGTGCTCAAGCTGGGAATCTTCAGAGCACAAGTACCTGCAGCCAGACGTAATGTGCAACCAACTAACATCATTATAGTATCCAGCGGTGATCCAGCCAGACCGACAGATGTATATATCCCACCTCTCGACCCACCCGCTCAGCTATGCACTCATCATACCAACGCACACCTCCACAAAAACGACCTTCCTTTCTTAATACTACTAGTATCTCCAGTTCTCCACATCAAACATGAAACCTACCATCCTCCTCCCTCTCCTTCTCCCGCTCGCAACCACTCACCCCACCCCCCAAGACACCATCACCACCAGCACTATAACCCCAGGCCACGCCATAATCCTCAACACGTGCGCCTTCCCCATCTACGCATGGTCTGTCTCATCCACAGTCGGTCCGCAAATCACCATTCCCGCAGCTGCACCCGTCACCAGCAGCAGCAGCAACAGCACCACCCAACAATACTCCAACTACACAGAACCGTATCACCACGACGCGCAAACCGGCGGAGTGAGCATCAAGCTCACGACTCTCCGGAACGGACTGTATACCGGTGCGCCGCAAACAATCTTTGCGTATAACTTTGTCGAAGGGCAGAATCAGGTGTGGTTTGATTTGTCGGATGTTTATGGCGACCCGTTCAAGGGGAGGAGGGTGAGTGTGCAGGTTAGGGTTGTGCAGGGCGGTGAGAATGGTGGTGGGTGGGAGGAGAGTATTGTTTGGGAGGATGGGGTGCCGGTCGGGGGGAGTCAGGTTAGAGTTGTCGGGGCGGAGAGGGATTTGGTGGTTAGGTTGTGTTCGTAGGTTTTCTTTCGGACTCAAGAGGATGGAGGAGAGGAGGTGGTAGTATGTTGATGTTGATGTGAGTGTTGTTGAATGTGATTTTGTTTATTTTATTGGGTTCAATGCTTGTTGTTTGGTCAGTAGAGGTGGAATAAGGGTCCTATGGCTGGATAGGTTCTGTTGGCGGGTACTAAGGTGATTAGTATAGTCCTGCTAGGTATGCAACTTGGGTAAGGTTGTGTGACTTGCCTGCGTGTATGGGGTGTAGATGGGCGATGTTTGGATCGGAGGTAGGGAATGTAGAAAGGCAAGCAGATGCTGGCTGCGAGAGATGTTTGGATGAGGAGTTTGGTAGGCATTGTGTCACAGTGAATAGAGATGTTGTTGATGTGATGAAGATGTAGTGGAGAGTGCTTGGGCAGATAACTATACATGTATTATCTGCCTGAGGCTTTAAGGTAGAACAACCCTATGAACTGGGTGGCTTCTTGACTTGCTTCATAGAGATAGTGGCAGTTTACAACTCCCTCCACCTGATTGGCGCCCGCGAGTCTCATGACCCCACGATTTCGGCCCCAATCATTGATAGTGCTTCCTCCAGCTGCCGCCCGATTGGACCCGAGGCTGGCTCGGGCCTGCAGATAACTTAGCAGAAGGGAGACTAGTAGCATACTTTGCAGTTAGCACTCTCCCTGATGATGCGAAAAAAATGCGGGGACCCGATGTGGGGGTCGGAAAATAACCTGGAGTAGGCTCCAGCAAAGCTGTCATGATGCATCTCTCCACCTCCAAGCATCCAGATAAGCTACTAACATCAGGCCACACTCGCAGAATGCAATCACCCCCCTAGTCATCATGGACAGGCCTTCCAAGCGGCCGCGGCTGTCAATGGCCTGCAACATCTGTCGTCAGCGCAAGGTCAAATGCGATGCAGAGTATCCCAAGTGCCGCAATTGCCGCCTGCGCAACCAACAATGTATCACCACCGATCCCCAGCGACCAGGGGTGACTGGCATTCGAGAATGGCTGGATATACCAGACAAACAGACTCCTCAGAATGATGATCAGCCTCAGCATCCGGCAGTCGGTGATCAGAATCACCAGGAAGCGACCGACACCCCACAGAAGCTGTCGCCTAATGAGGTGTCGCCCGTGCATCATCCGTTCGACGTCTCGTTCAACGTCGAGCATGGCACCGACAAGGTCAAGATTATGGGTGGAAGCAGTTCGCAATGCTTGGCGAAATCCCTCGATGTCTACTTCAAGGCTGCCCGACTGAAACCAGTATCGGGCTGCTTCCGGTACGGGATGAGACACGCGGAGGAACTCGATCTGCCGTTATCTCTGTCTTTGCCGGAGCTACCAGACAGTGACCGACGAGAGCGCTATTTGTCCGCCTATATCACTCGCATACACACTCTCTATCCTATCTTTAACACAACCCGGCTTCGCCTGGGTACTGATCTCTTTGCCACTGCGGGTGGCTTCACGAACCTTCCGCGCGACCAAATCCCGCGGATCGTGTCAGCGTACTTGATCATGAGTTTAGGAGCAGACGAGATAGGCCAGGGGGCAACAGTGGACGGAGATCGCTACTTGCAAGCAGCGGCGTGTCTGCTGTCTCATGTTATCATCATCCCGTATCTCCCGACCGTGCAGACATTGCTTCTTTTCACCATGGCATACCGCGGGCGGAACCAGGAAGGTCTAGCATGGCAGACTCTAGGCATGGCTATTCGGACTGCTTATACGCTGGGAATCAACCGGACTTCTACCTCCAACTCCGAAGGAAAGAACATCGAGCGACGCGTGTGGGCCGTGTGTTGGTGTCTGGAGAAGATGATGCATCTGGAATCGGGACGGCCGACTGTCATCGGATATCAGCATCCTAAGCCAGAAGATGCTCTAGGAGAGAGTAAATTCCTGAAGTGGCACGTCGAGCTTGGAGAATACCAAGGCAATATCAGTCATCATCTGTACAGTCATCAATCAGGGACAAGGGATGTGCGACAAATCCTCTTAGACACAGCGCGACTAGACCGCGAACTGTTGTCCTGGGCGAACCGGGTACCTACCGACATGCGTCCGGGGAGTGATATCTTCTGCGCAGACGAGGAGTTTCATGCAGCTGCTTTTTTGTCTATCCAGTATCACAGCACCCTGATCTCGCTGCATCGCGCCGCCCTCATCGCCCCGACATCGAGTTTTGAGGAGGAAGTGGCGAAATATTGCTCCGATGAGCCATCGCAGTTTCGAATGCGTCATGGAGAGTCAATCTGCGTGAGCAGCGCTCGAGCGATTGCCAAGCTCAGCGTCCAGCTGTCGGAACGCAAGACAGACTCGCAGACTATCCCGGCTGGCCCATCCCTTCTGGCTTGCATTGTACTGGCTATCTTTCTGATCAAGCATCCGGGTTCCCGGTTACAGGCCATGGATTTGCAGGTATGCTGTGCTCCCACTTACTGTGGAATTGAGTTAACGAGAACAGCTTCTCAAGGCATGTCTAGAGTATAGTAGTCACCACCTATCTCGATACGATCCCGATCCGCGATTCATAGAAGGTATGATATGGCACGAAGCATGACACAGGTACAATCAACTAAGTTGAATAGGTATCGCGGCTATCTACGAACAATGCAGCACCCATCTTCGGTCCTGGTCGGCTGCAGAAGCCAAAAGGCGTCCACACAGCCGTGACAGTCTCGCGAAGCTTAATCCACTTCCTACTCCAGCAGTTGATGACGCGCTGCCATCTTGGCGGCCTACTGAAGTGATGCAGCCGAGCGATCTGCACAAACAGAGTAATGGTGAATACCAGTCTCAGCGTGTGATACAATCAGCCGTATCTACACCTGCTATAGACCATGGCGAAGACCATCTAGACTCGTTAGGATTTTCCAGTACATCAATGCTTGATGGGTTCGTCGCGGAGGGTGTCAACGTGGACCAGGTATTTCCCTTCGAAGGATACAATGTGGAGGAGCTGTGGAATTGGATGGGATGCTTAGATAGTCCGGGATCGATGCCTGATATACGATAGTTCTCTACGGGGAAGATAAGTAACGACTGTAACTAGTTAGAATCAACAATTGTAACATTCAATACAAACTACATAATCAAACAACGAGCGACTTTAAAAACGTCACAACAACACACTAACAACAATTAAGCAGCAACCGCAGCACCCCCCTCCATCCTCTCCAAATACGGAATCCCCGTCAACTTAAACACCCTCTCACTCAACACCGGCTCCTGCACCGGCCTCTCCCTCGCCACTGGACAAGGCTTCCCATCCCTCATAGCAATATTCGTCTTCGCGACATGTTTCGCATGCGGCCAATGCGTCGTTCCCAACCGATCTACCCGACACTCCATTAGCACTTTCCCAAACCTACTCCCCCTTACCCCCAAATAAGAAATTAAATAAACTCACTCTCAAAAGCCCCCTTCTTCCTAACCAAATCCTCCTTCTCGACCTCCCTCACCGGCATAAAGCAGGTATAAACCGCAAACCGATCCTGCCCACCCGTCGGAGGCACATTATAATGCGGCGTGCGACTATCCCAGACAATCAAGTCACCAGGCTCAGCACATACCTTCTCCCATTGTAGTCCGTGGTCCGCCAGCCACTTCATCCCCGCATCAGTGAACCCGAACCATTCGGTCGTCCAGGCGGGGATGCGCTCTTCGTGTGCCATTTCGGTGTGGAATTGGGCGGAGAGCGCGTGCCCGCCTTTGCAAACGATGAGGCCGCCGTCGTTGGGGCCGTTGGGGAGGAGGTTGACGAGGCCTTGGAGGCCTGGTATGATTTTATATTAGTTAATTGTTTGGATGAAATAAGGGGTAGGAGGCGGAAAGGGGAAGGAAACGTACATCTGAAGCCTGGTTTGGAGGGGTCTTGGTCTTGGTGGGGCCAGGGTTTGCTTTTTATTATTAGTATCCTTTTATTTTTCACTTGAGGGGATGGAAGATGGTGGTGGTATGAATACTCACTTCTCAGGCAGATCCTCCCGACTACACACACACACAGAAACCAGCATATTAGCACCACCGCACATTGCATACTCACAACAAAGCAATAACAGGAGAGAAAGAGAGAGAAATACTTAGCAAACCCCACATTCACCACATCAAACGAAACAATCAAATCCTCATCATCATACACCTTCTTAAACGCATCCACTACCCCTTCCTCACCACGAATATCCCACACCCACTGTTCGTGTGTCACGCCGTAGTCGAGTATCATACCTTTTTCATTGAGCACGGGCAGTTTGTCCCGTCGGACGGTGCTGGGGTCGTGTCGGTTGTAGCCGAGGTTGCTGTCACCAATATCAATCAGTATTTGGTCTATGATATAGAGAAGGGGGATGAGAGGTAAGAAAGTGAAGGGGTGGTTACAATCCCTCCATATACGAGTAAAACGCATCCGCGTATCCATTCGCCCGATCAAGTGGAATCGCTCCCTTGATGACGGCGTAGCCATCGCGGTTCAGTGCATCGCGGAAGTCGCCGTAGTTGGTGGGTTGGCCGTCCAGGAGCATGCGGTTTTGGCCTTGACCGTAGCCTTGGCTTTTGGGAGGCTCCGCGGTGGTGGTCGTGGTTGTGGTGGTGATAGTGGCTATGGTGGACATATTGATTGTTTGTTGTTGTTATTGTTGTAGTACTGGTTTGTGTCGATGTTCGCTGTGAAGTGTGGGTGGGTGTGGATTGAGGTAGGTGCAGAGTTCAGTCTGTACTTATCTTCGTGGATTTGGATCTTTGTCAGATTGTCTTTTGGTTCAAGTATAATGAGTGGTATACTGCGCCGAGAGGTGGCCGAGTTTGTTAGGGTTCGGAGGGCTCGGGGCGCCCCGAGATGGGCTCCGAGGGTCGGTCGTCGCCGAGAGATGGATGCCGCTCTGATGGAACTATAATAACAAAAAGGTGCAATATCCCCCTCACTCCTTCTGATTGATGGTAATCAAAGTAGGACGATCATCATGACATTCAATATCATCATAGTTGGAGGCGGCATCGCCGGACTCGCAGCCGTATGTACACCCCCCTCACCCTTCTCAATTCTGTTTAGTAGCTAACAAACAATGGATTAGGCTATAGCTCTCCGCTCCGATCACCATACCATAACCATCCTCGAACAATCCTCCCAATCGCGCGAAATCGGCGCCACCATCTCCCTTCAACCGAACGCTAGCAAAATCGTCGAGAACCGATGGGGCCTCGCGGACCGTCTCCGCGAGCAAGGCTCAATGCCTGACTCCGCCTTCGAAGTATATAACCTCCGTGGGGAGCTGCAGACACGCGTTCCCTTGGTGACATCCAAATACGGCGCAGATAGAATGATCTACCACCGCGTGGATCTGCATCAGGTGCTGAAGCATCGGGCTACCTCGGATGGATATCCGGGGCAACCTGCTACGTTGCGGGTGTCGAGTAGAGTGAAGGGATGTGATTGTGACGAGGGGGTAGTTGAGTTAGAAGACGGGGAAATACTGAGAGGAGACTTGATCATCGGTGCGGACGGGATCAAGAGCGTTATAAGAGGTGCATTACTGGGGAGAGAAGTACCCGGTCAAACGACTGGATTGAGCGCATATCGCATGATGGTAGATACGGAGGAGTTGGTAGCTGAGGAGGGGTTTGTGGATGTCATTGATCCACGAATTGCGAGGACGACGATGGTCGTTGGTCCTGATCGACGGCTTATCATGGGTCCGGCGAGGAATGGGTCTGTGTATAGTATTGTTGCGTTGGTGCCGGACGAGAAAAGGGATGAGGAGTCCACGAGTTGGATGACTGCTGGTGATAAAGGGAAGATGCTTGCTACGTTTGCGGACTTTCCGGAGTGGGCAACGACGCCGTTGCGGTTGGCAGCGAGGAAAGAGGAGGATATCGGTCTTTGGCAGTTGAGAGATCTGGATCCGTTGGAAACGTGGTATCGGGGGAGGACGATATTGATTGGTGATGCTGCGCATGCTATGCTGCCGACGCAGGGACAGGGTGGGAGTCAAGCGGTTGAGGATGCTGAGGCGCTTGGTGCTTTTTTCGAGGGGTTTAAGGGGGGTGAAGGGAGAGAAGAGGTTGAGAAGGTGTGTCGGGAGGTTTTTGAGTGTCGGTATAAAAGGGCAAGTACAATCCAGGCGTATAGTCGCCAGGCGGGAAGGCCGGTGGAGGAAGATGTTCAGGTCGCGATGAATCCGGCCGAGTTTATGGACTATAATTGCTTGTATGAGGGGGCGATGGCCTGGAGGAAGCAGCAGGAGGCTGTAGTTGCCTGATTAATCACAGGTTATTCTATTTTCATTTCATCCTGATATCACGATTCTAAGATTGTTCTGTGAATATCTGGAAAGAAAAATTGGGACAACATTAGCCTATCAATAACCCGGATAGGCTATCGATGCCCAATACCCGCACCCAACGCATGGATGACGGGTATCCCCAAGACTTCGTTGGCGTACATACGCATTCTCTCAGACGTATATAAAACTATCAGCCCGTCTCTCTGACGGGTTACCCTATACACAACCTAAAGCGAAATTAATATCTTAAGCGTGCTTGAAGTTAAACCCTCGAATACGCGAAAATGGAAGAGCCAACTTATGATCCGAGGTATATAACCCACGTGCCTCTGCAACGCCATCTCTAATTCAAATAGTCGTCCCATGCCAGCCCTGGAACTTGTCTATGTACACAAGATCGTCAACTGTCCGGGAAAGACAATCGTTGGCCTGCGCGTGGATTTCCCCCCAAACGGATCGACTCCACCCCATCGACACGGCGGCGCTTCGGTCTCGGCCTACGTCGTTAGCGGCACACTTTTAAACAAGATGAATGAGGACCCAATGAAGGTGATTCCTGCAGGAGGCTCTTGGTATGAAGCACCGGGTTGCCATCACCGCATCAGTGACAATGCCAGTTCGACAGAGTCGGCCACACTCATGGCTGTTATGATATTGGACTCGGAGGTATACGAGCGCGATGGGATGGCAGCGTTGCTTCAGATTGATGAGGAGTACAGGCATAACTAAAACCTTTGATTTGGCCTAACCACCCTGACACTAAGCTGTAGCTGAGGTGGCGGTGATTGTGTTGGGGTTGAGCACCTACAATCGATGTGTAATCGGCCATATGTTCATGCCTTCTTATAATAAACGGAGCGTTATCTCTAGGGATATCAGCTATTATCGTCTCTAATAAAAGTTTCCATCGGCATCGACCCGAAGTAGTATGAAGTGGTCATTCTGGTAAACCGATGACTCCAGATGGGAGACAACGAGCAATTGGGGATGGAGCGATTGCATGTCTTGGCATCTTTAGTACTTGCACCCTAGAAGTAGTCGTGATATTAAGAGAGAAATTTACTATAAAATAATGCGATTAATTATCAATATCTACTCTGTACTTCTAACACAATATTGTAGCACCGGTTCGGGTTCCTGTTCCGGAAAGTTAGGGCGCAGGCTCGGCCCCACCGACCGAGAAGCTGGAGAATTTGTCAGCCCCAGGTGGCAAGATAGAAATTGAAGGGCCACTTCTAAATGAACAATTTCTATCTAACTCTTGAGGGCAGACCAAATTGTGAGACGTAAAGGCTGTTTCACTCATGGCGACCGTAGCAGCTAGAAGCGTCACTCGGCTGACGGCCAGGTAAGCCCCAAATCTCTAGATCGATAGGAGACCAACTAATCATGCGACAGGACACTATCCAAGAGAACATCAATTGTCACACCCTTCATAAACTCCAGGATGAGCTCCTCATCCGCTGCAGTGGCAGCAGCAACGTCATCAAAAACAGACGATGCCACTAAATCAGCAAAAGCCAGCTATCAAATCGTCACCTCACACCACAACTTCCATGAAACCGAATCCCAAAGACCCAATTTCGACCACAATGCCCCCATCAATATCACCAAATCGCCTTACCCTAGCTGGAAATACGGCCAAGGAGTCCCCGACAACAATCACAGCGCCAGCAAAACCCACCACGAGATCGATCCTTACGCTGAAGATCGCCCAATGGTCAACAACTACCGACTGCTCGTGTCAGGTATCGCACCCCGACCAATCGGCTTCATTAGCACCGTCTCCAGCGATGGCAAGACCGAGAATCTTGCGCCCTTCAGTTACTTTCAAGTGGTGGATCACGACCCACCCATGTTCATTGTCGGGTTCTCATCCCGCCCTGGCGCAGTCAAAGATACGTATCGGAACCTGAAAGAGACTGGTGAGTGCGTTATCAACACTGTTTCCGAAGGTATGATTGAGGCAGTGAATGCGACGTCAATTGATGCCCCATATGGAGTGTCGGAGTGGGAGGTATCGGGTCTGGGTAAAGCGCCTAGTTCGACTGTCAAGGCAGCGAGGGTTAAAGAGTCGGTTTTCTCTGTCGAGGGTAAGGTTGTCGATATTAAGGAGTTCAAGGCGCATAAGCCCGGCATGAGTTCTCCTGCGGTGGTTTTGATCCAGGCAACGAGGTTCTGGGTGCAGGAGGGTGCGGCGGATGAGGAGTTCAGTCATATTGACATGGAGAAGTTGAGGCCTGTGGCGCAGTTGGGTGGGGTGTCATATGGAAGGATTTCGTCCACATTTGAGAGGCCTAGAAAGAAGTGGGATGATGAGGTTGGGAAGAGTGATTTGTTGGCTGAGTTAGAAAGGAGGAACAAGGACAGTTCGTAAACAGGATTTTGTCTTGTTAAGATAGGACATTGGGCTTATCATGAGTGTCAAGGATTATATGCATACACTTGAGTAGTTCATGAATTCATGGTTGATCTGGACGAGATATATCCCATGTTCATGCCTGACTATTCAGGCACAAATATTATCGCCAGATAAGGTAAGGCGGACCGTCGGAGTCATCCCGACGCGACGGACCGGCATCGGCCCTTGTACCCGACGACCAGTGACTGTTCAACAGCCATCCCAGAAGTATATCTGACTGCAGAACCAAGGACAACAAAATATACATATCGTCAACACACACCTGAATCTTGCTTCATCATGTCTTTCTTCCGCCTTTCTACAAGGGCTCTACCAGCCAATCTGCTCCCCCGCCAGCACGTCGCCCGCCGCACCATTGCAACAGCAAGCAAGAAGGAATGGCTCTGCATTATTCCTGATACACCAGAGGGTCCCGAATTGAGAAAGAAAGTTCGAGCGTAAGTTTACTTTTACTTCCATCTAGGTGTATGCCAGCTCAACTATCCTCGCTCACAACATCATAGGACTCACATGGAAGGAGTCGGCCCCCTCGTCCAGGCGGGAAAGCTAGTCGCAGGTGGTTCGTCTCACATCATCCTATTGACTTCTATTCGAGCCCTCTTATATGGCTATTCTCAATTAACTTCATCTTGATAGGTGCGATGCTGGCCACTCATCCCGAGGAAGGCAAAGATCTGTCATTCAAGGGCAGTATGCTTGTGTATATGGCTGAAAACTTGGAGGAAGTGCACCAGCTTATTAACGGCGATATCTACGCTAAGAGCGGCGTTTGGGATTTGGGAAAGGCGCTTGTTGTCCCGGTGAGTAATTTGCTTCCGTTCTTTTGGTTGTGGTACTGTGAGCTGGGTTATGCTGATAATGGCTGCGTGCAGTATTTGTCCGCCGTGAGGGAGCCTTTGAAGAAGGATTAGGAATGATTATTTATTCTGTGTCTCTCAGAGATTAGTGGTGCTATTTTTCCTCGATGTTTTAGAGAGCGGCCATCGTTGAGCACATATAATTTCTTAGGCTACTTAATGCAGATTAAGCATTTGACCTAATAAAGATGCTACTGGCATGTGATTTCTCAGATAATTCTCGTAACTCGCCGAAACTACTCAGACAGGAATGTGGTGAATACCTGCAGCCATAATCTGCCATATTTGGTAAGCCCTTGCGTTGGTGGTATGCAGGTGATGGAGGGATACTGCAGACAGATTCCCAGCCACATAAGGCAAGAGGTTCGTGACAAGTTCAAGAACAAGGGACGATGGCGCATCTGGGAGCGCGTCAGACTGAAGATCTGGAGGTGGCCGGTTCAAGCCCGGCTCGTCCCATTCTTTTTTTCAAATTTTTTTCCGAATCTCGGCCTGGTGGGTCCCATTCGGCCTCATACAACAAACGACCAATACGAATACGGATGTGTAGGAGGTATGGTAAGACGTTTGATTGCAATGATGGGGGAGAAGGCATGGACTAATCGTTCGATGAAATGCGAGTAAACGACGGTGTCGTACTCCATATGAGGGAATATATAGGCAGGTACTGCTACTATGGCCTTGGCTCACTGTACCAGTGTATCCATTCGACGCCTGGTATGATGAGCAACTAAGTAAGTAAAAGGGAGGTACATGATGTTTACTATAGGCTTAATGTGCGGATAGTATATATAGTTGTCAGTGCAGCCGACATTGATAGTATCAAAACCAAACAATTTTGACTAAGCTCGGCAGTTTGCGACCACTAAGAGGCTAGAGAGCGATGGTAGAGTTCATCAAAGCAGGAGCCTTACCATAAACTTTAGTCGTAGTTATATTGACTCTTATGGCACATCTCATGCTTGTGCTAGCGACTAAGCCTCCTGTAATGCAGCACTATGTGGGCCCAAATATACATCAAATGGCCTGCTGGCCCAATGGTAAGGCGCTTGACTACGGATCAAGAGATTGCAGGTTCGAGTCCTGCGTAGGTCATTCTTTTTTAATTTTCTTTTTTCACTTCTATTTTTTCTCTACTACTTGACAAAACAATCAGGCGACCGTTCAAAGTACCCGCCCATATCTTTGAACCACTTGTGTTCCATCACCACCTATCATTAATATCTTCGACGAGCTGTGTTACACTCTATCGCCGAATCGAACTTCACCCCAGGCTCCACATTGTAGAGCCATTTGACCCCGTACACCATTTGATCTAATCAACCATCACATCTATAAGATTCTCAATATCCTTTACAGTGACATTCTTTTGCATCTCCCGCGCCAGTGACACGGCACATGAGACAATGTTCTTAATCTGCAGTACATGTTAGCTTGCTTGTGACCTTAAAACTACCGAGAGCTGACGAACCTGTCGCCCATTCAGCGCATGCCTCGAAAGCGCCACAAAGTCATCGGCGGTAAATTCAGCCAGCTCCGACGATTTTGCGACATTGGTCAAGAAATTCTTCCACACTTCTAGTCGGCTATTGGTATCAAGCTCCGGATAGTGCATGGTGAAATGGATTCGACCTGTAATAATCGCATCAGGAGCTGAAAACACCATTCATTCAGGTCGAAACTCACTCTTGAATGCCGGATCAATGTCGCTCTTTCGGTTTGTGGTGAGTATGGCTACACCACGGAAACTATGATGGATATTAGCTCAGGCCGACATTTCCTATCATGGGCCACTTACTACTCGAGTCGTCGGAGAAAGACGCTGACTAGAGCATCCCTCGCTAGGTCCTTGCCACGAGCTGAAAGGAACACATCTGCTTCATCGATCAATAGAACACAGCCCCACCGCCGGGTAATCTCTAAGATCATCCCCAGACGATTGTCGACTATATCAGGGTCAATTCCAAGCTCGCCGGTAGCTACCACATACAGAGGTCGCTGGGTCACTTCGGCAACGGCTTCTGCAGTCAACGTCTTACCCACACCCGGGCTTCCGGTCAGGAGCGCAATAAGACCTTTGCCTTTGTTGGCAACAATATCGTCAAAGACCGCATCATCCTGTCGATGGGCCTTGACAAGTCCATGGATAAGTTCTCGGCGGTTTTCGGCCATGACTAGTCGTTTGAAGGCATTGTGGTTCCACTCTACATCGGATAACGCCGATACCGAAAGTTGACACCAAGACTTTTGTGCGAAGCTGAAGCCATTCATGAACGAGGCACAAATCAAGTATTGGTCATCAGACAAGCCGACAGGATCCAAAAACCCTTCTGATAGTACAAAAGGTCTGTTCAACTCCGACGATGTGTTATGAAGATAGTAACCAGCAGGGTCGACCATGACTCTCCCCAATGCCTATATAAGTGAGTCAGCGCCAATGTCCAAAATGGAGTAAGAGTTGCAGTCAGACATTAAACTTCTCGGGCACGGAGTCACCGTTGGCTCGTTCAAACTCCTTTATACCGTTTGCAGCCGTATACTCTCTGCATGCAGGCTGTTCGAGTAGCGCAACGAATTTACGCCCGCGGGCAATGAGCCTCTCTCGCACGGCAGATTCCTCGTCATGGTATTTGAGCGGAAAGAAGTTCAAGCTAGTTATTGTTCTCGCACCCTCATATTTGTTGATTTCTAGCTCCATTGTCGATTTACCAAAGTCTTGACCGTCATGTTTGATAACTTCGGCACTTGCAGAAAAGTATTGCTGGCCATTTGGACGTGACTGATAACTAGACATCTTCAGGTTGAAGGCCTGCTCTTCAGTCATAAGGCCAAACCGGGGTGAGATAATAACTTCCTTGGGCGGGAGGATTGCCCAAAGAAGATCCCAGGTGATCTGATTCTCACCCAGAAGCGACTTCAAGCTGACAATCTGAGCTGCAAAGTCCTCTTCAACAAATTGCAGAGCCGTGCCAATATCATCGATAAATTGCTGGTTGGGTTTCTCCTTCTGCTTCTCCTCTTCTTTAATACGTATCAGATCCGGGGCGGCCCAGAAGAATACTTCGGGTGTGGCCTAAAGAGGTTCATCAGTCAGCGGAGCTGCAAAAGTCCGTATGAGCTGACGAACCATGGGAGGAGTCTTATTCAAGTCAAGACCCTCTACATCTTTGAACAGATCACGAAACAAATCTTGCAAGAGAGGAGACCGGATGTCAATTTCGACGTGGGAGACCATGCCCTGCTTTGAAATAACTCGGCGAACGACCATTGCAGTCTTGCTGAAACGATCGGGTTTGGCTTTGACTTTTGCCGTCTTAACGAAGTGAACTTGTCGGTCCTTTCTGTATCCATGTCAATGGCCCGGCTGTCTGAGGTTCGACGCAATGTTTCGCTACCTGCTATATCTGTTGGAGCGAACTATGGTTAGTATCCCTTTTACCAAGACCTAAGGTACGGTCTCAAATCTCACATCTGATCCACGCGCAACAAACGCTGAGACTTGTTGCCACGGTCCGTCATGGCGCGCTGGATGGATGGCTTGGAAGGCCCGTCTGAGGGCTTAGCCGCCGCCGCGGATTCCGTCTGATCGGCCATGTCGTTTTTGCGTGCTGTAATGTCTACAGTGGCACATGAAATGAGAACAGACGAATGCTGAACGAAAGGTGGAAGAATTGGCGACTGGAGCAACTTATGCTTGGAAAAAACAAGGCTGTCGACACTTGGCTCGTATATGGGATGTGGGCCAGGGCGTTTGCAGTGGGGGTGGCTGCTGATGCTGTTCAAGGCTTCAAGCTCATCCTTCCAGTCCATGCGTCAGCACAGCGACAAAGTCGCGCCACCATTTCTGCCCAACTCATTGTACCAAAAGACTTCCTTCTATTATAAAGATGGAGGTAATAACATGTCATCCGGAAAGTTCTTTGTACTGAACTTCTTCTTTTTCGCCAACAGAGGCTAACCTTGCTGCCTTTCAGGGTCTCGAGACGACAGGGTGTCGAGCCGTGCCGCGCGGCGCTAACCCTGGCCCCCCGCAGGATCACTCAGATTTTAGTCTGACAGCCTTGTCACTTGTCACACTAGGTTAATTATATGTGGCTAGTTATTCTCATGCAAGGTCTGACGTGTGCACCGGCGGGGTAGATTGCAGACTGTCTTCTGTCCTATTTCTCAGAGTAGTGAGGCGCGCATAGTCCCCAGCATAGAGCCTCCCGGTGGGACCAGTCCCGGTCTATTACTTATAGTTATTATCTCGCGTGATCTCAGCAAACCATTCTGGTCCTTGACAAGGCTGCCGATTGTGCCATTTTCTCACAATGCCCGAGGATTCCAGCGAAAATGTGGGAGGAGCAGGCTCAACTGCCTTTGCGCGCGCGCTGGAAGAATATATCAACAAACCCCGATCGCCGAGAAGCAAGACCCCCCAGTTTCTCAAAAAACTGCAAAAACAACAACGTTCCGGCTCAATTCTTACTGGAGATGCCATCAAGAAAGACCTTTTCCTTTTGGATCGCCAGGCGACAGATCGCACAGCCGCTCGTGCTGCTCGCAAGATCTTGGGACCGGTTATACAGGTGCTGAATACCTACTCAGGAATTGTCGAAACTCTGGTCTCAGCAGATCCCATGCCTACGGCTATCATATGGGGCTGCTTGAAGTCTGTGATAGACTGCTCGCAGAGGTTCCTTGAACTCTACGAAAAGATATCCGATCAGATCAAACGCTTAAACACACACATCACCGTGCTTACAGAATATGAAGATTTATTCGATCACTCCGCTACGATGCGGGAGCTATTGCAAGCATCGTATATCGACATCATTCGGTTTTGGCGAAGGGTTGACAAGGAGTGTAACCGCTGCGTGGCTAATCGTGCCTTTCGAGCGATCGCCCCTTTCAGTACAGAAAAGCTCGATGGCATTATCACGAGCATCGGAGATACGGCCGACAGCATGAGTCGTCTTATTCCTGCCGTTCAGGAACGCCTAGACAGAGGAGAGCGGGAAAATGCAGCCGAAGAGCGTCGGCTTGCCGGTATCGCGCGAGAAGAACAAGCAGCACTTATCCAAATGTATGCGGAAGAGATGCAGAAACGGAAAGAAGAAAGGAGACTACAAAGGCAGGAAGAGGTACGAAAGTGGTTGCGAGATGGGACTATGCCACTGAATGGGAGCAACTTTCGCCACCGTGACAGCAAGCTGGCGCAACGAAGCCCAGGCACTTGTGAATGGGTATTTGAGCATGCGACTTTGATAGATTGGATGAACACAGATAGCCCAACCTCTCAAGTATGGGTGAAGGCATCTCCCGGAGCTGGAAAGACTGTTTTGACTGCGTCTGCTGTTGAAAAGCTGGAAGCGACCAGCGCTGAAAACGCTGCCGTCATATACCATTACTTTACTTTTGATGAAGAATTTCCAGCCTTATTGGTCTATCGCTGCCTTGCAGAGCAGCTTGTCAACCGACTGGGAAGACAGACCGGCGACGTGCCAAAGGATATCCACAAATTTACACAGGAAGGTGCTACAACCGCTAATGTTGAAGATGTCAAGCAAGTGATCAGAATGCTCCTGGAAGAAATGACCGTCACCTACATCTTTCTCGATGGGCTTGATGAGGAGTGCGAGACAGAGAACAGAAAGAAAGAGCTTTGCAAGGTGTTGGAATTTTTTGGGGAGCTGAGCCGTGCTATGCCAAGTCGCCTGCGCATTTGGTACAGTTCTCAGCACCGCACCTGTCTCGATGCTCCCCTCAGTAGCCTTCCATCCATCGAGATCACGAAGGAGTTGAATAGCCACGACATTGAGCACTATCTACTAGAAAAGATTGAGGACCTGAAAAGTCTCGAGTTTGATGCAGGGTACATCAGGTTGATTATTGGTGATCTGCGCGAGAAAGCCGACGGATGCTTTTTGTGGGCTTCACTAATGTTAGACTCTATGTCGGACGCAGTGACCCTTCATAAGGTTCAAAGTATCATTGAGGGAGGTCTTCCCGACAACTACGAAAAGTACTACCAGAGAAAGATGGACAGCATCCGGCCTGGTCTGAAGGAATTTGCGTCGTATGTAACTCTGAACGCCCGCGACGTGATTTGGAAAACTGCTAACCTGGAGCTGCTAGGATTATTCTATCATGTATCGTGCATGCAAAACGCCCATTACGCCTGGATGAGCTTTGTGAATGTACGGCGATGGTGAAAGGCATTGAAGGACAGAATATCGATAGCAGTCAAAAAATCAAGAAAAGCAAGGTGCTGGAGTTATGTCAACCTCTTGTCCAGATCCATGAAAGCGATGGGCCAGCCGGCACCATCTCTATCTGCACGCTGACTCATGGCTCGGTCAAAAACTTTCTGTTGAAGAACCCAGGGATCTTGGCAAACAATTCCAATCCACCAGCATATGCGCTCACAAATGATGTTTTGGCGAATGTATGCCTCAAGTATCTCCTGCAGCCACGGTATGAGCAACTTCTTACCAGGGAGGGCGAAACATTCGTCGATTGTGATGGGGAAGACATTCTTAACCACCATCTTCTCTCTTATGCCGCCAAATACTGGGATAAACACCTGGATGGAGTCAATTATTCATTGGACTATTGCCAGAAAGCCTCAAGCTTTATCCGAAGCCCACAGTTCTTCACATTGCTACAAGTCCAGAGTCTCTTTGTCGACGGTATGTTTGATAAAGCTCCAGACCTTTTGAAGGGCGACGTTAACTAATGAGAGATATAGGTCAATTTCGCTTCTGGTACAGTACTTACCGTCCATGGGCTGGCAGACATATCAAGCGCGTATTCCCTCATTGGTTGGATGATAACTGCAATGAGCCCTTCGCAAAGGACTATGCATCCTTTGTGGGTGAGTGGGGACCACTATTGGACCGTGAGACAAGCATCACGGGCGCCTTCGCAGGCGAAATCGATCGATGCTTTCCTGGGGCATTGGGACCCAACAACTACCTTCACAAGGGACCCAGCCGTTACCGAAGTCTAATGTTTACGGCAGAGACTGAGCCGACTGAGCCCCCAATTCGATGCTTTGAAGGGGTTGACGAAACGGGAAGGTATTTGACAGTACTGAACCTGGAAAAGGTGTAAGTGCCACAGCCACACGTTGTCGTTGTTCATAGCTTATTGATGTTATAATTACGAATAGTAGCGAAGACGGGCTACAATTTTGTTGCGAGCATTGGCATCTGAATGGTCGCAAACCCGAGCTTCAAAGAACTCAAAAGTTGTATGCATCCGCCTCAACCTGGTCTCTTTACGAGTATCCCTTGACGGAGAATGTTCCGGGCCGACCTCGTCTGGTTTCCTTCACTAAAGACTTGAAATTCATTCGCATTGGGTCTCAGCTATTTGTCAAGGGCGTGGATCATGATTATACGTCCCTACCTGTGACTGATCCCGACGAAGACTATTTCGATGAAATGGCCAGCAACAACCATATGGTTGCTGTGTCAACAAGACGACAGATCTCCAAGTCAGATGTGGAAATTCCAGGAGCAGTTACTGGCGATGTGAGAATTGTTGACTATGCGGATATAGCGATTCAAAAGCGAGAAGAAGAGGTAAGCGAGTTGGATCAAAGAAGTACGGCCGCCCCAACTTCAACTGCCGATACACAGCCAACTCCTACCGTTACGAAAAGCAGTGATGACGACAGCGATAGCGGGACCATTGACACCGATATCACATCAGAGTCTTTATTGAAATTAGAAGACCCAGATGAGTTCCAACCATCGACCGAGAAAGACAAGGCGCTGGAGCTCGCAACAAAGGTGTCGAATTATACAGACGAACTCATGAAAAGCTCTTCCGAGTCTGCCGGAAATTCGGCTTATACCTCCTGGAGCGAGGGATCCACTGATCTTGATGATGAGATGGACGACGAAGAGCAATGGAATGATTGGGACCTCGAGCATCTGGAACTGGAAGAGCTCGACGTCGAAGAGAAGGGAAGCTTTCTTGGCAGCGACAACGACGGATACAGCAGCGGTGATGAGAGGAAAGATGCTTTGGAACTACATGATGATCTCGCGAGCGAACTATCGGAGTCAGATAACGCGAGTGACGCATTGGAAAAAAGAAGTGATATGCTACCATTGGACTCTGATGGTAGTGACGCTGAGAGTGTCGGTTCTTCGACGAACTACAGCGTCTCTAGCAGCGAATATGGCTCGGATGATGAAAACCGTGGCATACTCGAAAACATGATGACCGGAAATAAGACCACGAGCACCGAAGGGACTCGTCGCACAAGCATTCGAGTGTGCGATGCTACCAGAAAAGAACGCATCCCCGTATTCCACTTTACCTGCTTTATTAAAGACAGGTTGTTCGACTCACCTCCGGTGTTCCACCCTTCCAAGCCCCTCCTGGTCTGGCCACTGGGCGACAGGGAGATTCTGTTTGCCAACTATGAGAAGAACACGTATTTTACACGCGGGCTATGTCGGTCGGGCTATGGCAGCTGCCACATCTTCATTAAGGCACACTTCTCGAGTGACGGTCGGCACCTGCACCTCGCGGCATTGGAAGCTCGCGAGGCTGCCAAATCAGACAAGGAAGAAGCCTCTGTACTTCTCAGCCTGCAGGTCTCAACACACCGACTCTCCGAGCACAAGACTGCTAGTAGTCCGCCTCGAATGATCTTTCGCACCACTGTTGAACTCGGTAACACCCCTAAGTTGTCCGTGTCCAATCTCCCTCACTTCCTAACATGGAGCGACACACATCTTTTCTTCACAAGCCGCAACAACAAGCTTGATGTCCTTCGAGTTCCTCTCTTTCGCCCCCCGGGCGACAACGTGGACCTGAACATCTGTTCCCTACAGGAACCCATATTTTTGCCACGCTCGGTCGAAGCACAAAACATGTACTTCTTCCCATCTCAGAAAACAACGAAGAAAACTTTACGAAAGAAGGACATGAAATCAGCAACACTTATTCTAGGTGCACAGACATGTCTCCCAAGTCAGGGAATACTGGTACCCCGACACATGTGTTATCCCCCGATCGCAGTATTTCTGCGTGAGGACAAAGATTTGGTCTGGGCTTGCAGGTCGAGTGTTGATGAGGGTAGAAAGATTAACAATGCCTGTGGCAGGTTGAGGGGGAAGTTCGAATCGTTTGATCACAACGAGGATTGTGATATTATCCCGTATTTGTTTTGATGTGGGCTTCACCTTGGCTGAGCTCTATATCTGTTGTCCCTCTATGGAGAACCTTGCACTACAGCATTTAGACCTAATTCAGAAGACAAATCAAGTAATAACAGGAACCAGTCGTCAAAATACCAGGACCGGTGTCTACAACATGTAGTCAGAAAGTCATCAAGTCTCATACAGACTTAGTGGTAACTACTTGAAAGTAGAAATCTTGACGCACTTTAAAGTTCCTAATTCAAATAGAGACGGATGACTACTTCTTTGAGAGTGGCGGGATTCAAACCCGCAACCACTGTCCAACTCTCCCCCAAATTATGTCCTGAACTCAGTGCCACCAGTGACTCCCTTCTATCATTTCAAGACCACCGCCGACAGTTCAGTTTAAATAGCTAAAATATCAACTATAAGAGGCTTCTTTCCTCTCAGGCAACTAAAACACCCCCGAGCGTCCAGTAATACCAAGACCCTTTGCTCTTGCTGTCACTCATCCAATGCGCTACACTACTACAGTAATTGCACTGGCTGCCTTTGGCTTGCTTGGTAGTGTTGATGCAGCCCCTTCCCGCAGCTCAGGTCGCTGGGTCAGCCTCGCCTCCATTCCCACTCCCCGTCAAGAGCATGGGACCGTCGCCATCGGCAACTCAACTATTGCCATCGTCGGTGGCATCGCTCCTCAAGACAACGGTACCACCACAGTCACCACAGACCTAGTTCAGCTCTACGATATTACCTCCAATACCTGGCGCACTGGATCTGCGTCACCATTTAAGGTCAACCATCCCAACCTTGCCTGCGTGGACCCGAACAAGCTTTACCTGCTAGGCGGTCTGACCGACGTACCACCTCCAAAAGGTCAGGACCTAGGCATGAACTGGATTGCCTCCAAGGACTGCTACGTTTATGACGCTGCAACTGATACGTGGGCCGAGATTGCCTCCATGCCCAACGGCACAGAAAGGGGCAGTTCCGTCGTCGGTGTTCATAACGAGATGATATATCTAGCCGGAGGAATGACGGTCCTCCAGACTGGATACCAAGACGCCATCAATTCAGTCATCTCATTCAACACCACCTCCAGCCTCTGGCAGAGACTCGAGTCCGCTGCGGCTGAACTGCCAGCAAGCCGTCAGCACGCTACTGGATCGGTAATTGGAGACAGTTTCTATGTTATCGGTGGACGCCGATACGGCCAGATGTATCATCGAGACACGGTTTTCGAACTTGATCTGCAGAACATTGAAGTGGGATGGAGGACGAGCACTGGCCACATGCCTACTTCCCGCGGAGGCATCTTTGGGGGTCCTGTTGATGGGAAGTTCTACCTTTTTGGTGGTGAAGGAAACCAAAACTCCAATACCGGTGTTTACAATCAAACGGAGATGTTTGATATTGCTTTAGAGCGATGGACTGAGTTGATGCCCATGGCTGTTTCTCGTCATGGTACTCAAGCTGCGGTAGCTGAAGAATGTATTTATATCCCTGGCGGTGGCCTCCAGCAGGATGGTAAGGAGGTAATAGTGGGTGGAGAGACGACTTATCATGATACTACCTCTCACTTTGATGTCTACTGTCCTTGAGCATTGGAAGTATAGAGCGGCGTGACGGATATAGAGAAATGGGCTGTTTGAGAGGCGAGCCATTCCTCGTCACGGACATTCCGCCTGGAACGATCAATGACAATAATTATAATTTTATTTATTTTCACAGTGATTCACGGGACCAGTCTTCTAGCAGACACCCGGATAAGATCAAAGCTTGGGCAAGGCTTCTGCAGATTGACTGCTGACGCTAACACTACTATCCCAGAAACAAAAGCCTTGAATTGAGTAAATCACGGCTATCGACATCTACTACTATTCAATTACAAGCATAAGACCTAGCTCAGACATACACTACGAACGTATAATACGGCAAAAAGCCTATACCCATAAATTTATTGCATACTAGAATCTTTGAGAACAAAGTCGGGTGTGTTGAATCCCTTCATGGCATGGCCAGCCTTTCGAAACCATGTCACATCCTCCTCGTCGGAACAAATCACACACTCCACCATCAATTAGGCCGAATCCTTGTACAAAAAGTGGATAGGGACGGAAAGAGTTGATGATTAAATGCCACCTCCAACAATGCCACCCCATTTTCTTCCGCAGTAATCGTTCTTGTTAAGGCCACCATCCACACAATCGCTCTTTTCACAACTTCATCTTATTGTCTGAGTGCGATTAACTTCAGAACCAATCGAGGAGGAGAGGGAGAGGGGACCATGGCGGCACAGGGTGTTTCCGATAATCCGATAATCCGGGAATCCGATGTGAGTGCCCGCAACGCCTACAGAACCCCAGAATATACAAGAGGAGATATAAGGAGGTATTCGCCACGAGAATTCCAGCTAAAAACAGAGCAAAACAATAATTCATTTCATGATCTTTAAACCATTACCTGAAACTCATCCAATTATCAATATGGTCGGCTTTGACATGCGTGGTTTGACACCGGCTCCGGTAACTCCCTTCACGCCGGACGGTGCAGTAGACTACGAAGCTATACACCGGCTTGGTTCCTGGCTTGGAGGCATCGAAGGAGTCAAAGGACTGGTTGTGCTTGGCCACGCTGGCGAGGGCACCTTTCTCACCACTGAAGAGCAAATCTCCGTCATCAAGGCTTTCGTGAAGTCGGTGGATAATAAAATACCAATCATTGCTGGTATCACTGGCGAGGGCACCGAAGTGGCCGCGTTAGAAGCAAAGCGTGCCAAAGAAGCTGGCGCGGCTGCGGGCTTGCTATACCCATCTCATGGCTGGCTGCGCTTCGGATATCAGCCCGGGGCTCCTCAAGATCGGTACCGCCGTGTATATGAGGTGTCCGGCCTGCCGTTGATCCTCTTCCAGTATCCGGACAATACAAAGGCGACCTACAGCTTACAGACTATGCTTGATATTGCTGCTCAACCCGGCTGTTTTGCTATGAAGAACGGTGTGCGCAACATGCGCAGATGGGATACGGAAATTCCTGTCATTCGGGCCCAACGCCCCGACCTACAAATTCTCTCTTGTCATGATGAATACCTATTGCACACTTCCTTCGACGTCGACGGTTTCTTGGTTGGCTACGGGAACATCGCCCCCGAGCCTCTTATCGAGTTGATCAAGGCTGGTAAGGCCAAGGATTACAAAAGGGCACGAGCTATCCATGACCAACTCCTGCCGGTCACGAAGAGTGTGTATCATCGAGGATCTCATATGGAGGGTACGGTTGCGCTGAAACATGCTCTTGTTGCTCGGGGGATCCTGACACACGCCACTGTTCGTTCGCCTTTGTTGCCGCTCGAGGAGGGTGCAGAACAAGAAATTCATGCTGCCATCAGTGCTGCATCCCTCAGCAAGGTGGTTCTGTGAGGAGGAATGTCAAAGTAAGGATCTGTATATGAATTTGCTAAGCTAGAAGGTAGATGTGAGGGAAGATCACCCAATAGCAAATGATAATTCTATGAGGCTTCTGTAACAGTGGTGGCATTATACAGCATAGATGATTGTTAGGCAACCTAGTGCACTGAACGGTAATGCAAGAAGCTTGTCTTGGATTAGCCGTGGTTCGGATTTAGATGTCCTCGTATTCTGCACAGACTACTGACCCTGCGATCTCGGACTTCCGGCTATGCTCGGCTATCCAGCCCGCAATCTTCAGTCTATTTGGTCTGCAAATCCGGCATTTCCGTCCCCTCCTCCTCCTCCTCCTCCTCCTCCTCTCTCTCCACTAAGCAGCACCTGAACGCACCATGGCATCCACCCATTCACCACAAGGCCCTTTGCTGGCGCCAGATCCATCCAAAGCGCCCCCAGGGAAGCGGCCCTTGCTGACGACCGGTGACGATGCGGATGATGAGAATCGCCGGAAAGACCCAAAAATCACTCGGGCTTGTGATACCTGCAAAAGAAAGAAAGTCCGCTGCGATGGTACGCTTCCATGCAGGAATTGTGCGAAACGAAAACTCCATTGTTTCTATAATGCCAAATACAACCGGGGTCGGCCTCCAACCCCACCACCTTCCATGACGATCAGTGAGCACCAAGCCAGACGGCAAAGTTATCCTCCAGAGCAGAATCCCAATAGACAGAATACGGAACCAGTCACGCATCTAGTCCCCGAGTCTCAAGTTAACCCTCGGGATTCACCAGAGGTCGAACTTGAGGGGCAATATTCCGATCCTACATCAGGATTGAACTTCTTGCACAGAGCATGGAAGAAACTATCGACACAAAACGATGATTCAGCACTGTATCATTTAAACAACGCAGGAAGAGACCAACTGCTTAGTTCAGCTGGAGATCCCCCATTTCATGTTGATGATTCAGCTCTAGATGACGTGATTCCAGTCGCCTCCGCGGCGAGGGAATTGCAAGAGTTTTACTTCGAAACGTGTGTGGTGACGTATCGTATGTTCCATCGGCAACTCGTAGAAGGTTGGATGGAGATTCTCTTGAAAAATCGACAAGAACGACGGCCAATTACCCATTCGCTCGGAAATTCTAGAACTGCGATACTGCTCACCATAATGGCCATCGCCTCTTTACGCCGCGAGAAAGTCAATGGGAAAGAGCCCCAAGACGACAACATGAATGGCTTATGCAGAAGCGATCGGTTGTTCAGTGCGGGCATGAAACTGACTGAGACGGAGATGGGGTTTCCAAAAGTTGAATCCGTCCAGGCACGGCTCATCCAAGTCCTCTACCTTCTGCAAACAGCTCGCATGAACAAAGCCTGGTATGTATTTGGAAATGTCTTTCAGGTAACACTTTCCCTCGGCATGCACCGGTGTCGAGACCAGAGGAGAAATTTCCCTTGCCCGGGACGGCCCCATAATTACATTATCTCAGAATGCTACAATCGCACGTTTTGGGTAGCCTACATTGTTGACACCTATTTGAGCGTTGTGTTCGGCCGGCCTCGACTTTACCAAGACGAGAATATTGACCAGGATTTCCCTAGCATGGTCAATGACGAGGACATGAAACCGCAAGGGCCTTGCAACTCAGACAACCCAAGAGATTGCTATATTGATGCTTTGATCCATCATGCCAAGTATATTGTAATGCCTCTCCATCGCGATGATCGCATACTTACCACATTTCAGGATTGCGCAGATCATAGGAAAAATATCACGAGAAGTATACTCGATCAGCAATCTGCCCAACGAAGATCGTCTAGCAGCTGTGCAGCGGTTGTGTCATGATCTGCATGTATGGTGGGCCAGCCTGCCGCCACATTTGGGTACAGTAAAACCCTCCACCTTGATACCCAGTTTCCGGCGCCAGGCCATTGCTATGCGGCTGGCATATTATCATGCTCTCATGCATGCCAATCGACCTTTCCTTTTGAGTGAAGGAGCATACGAGGAAGTTAAAGAATGCACAACTGCTGCCCAGAACAGTCTAGAACTTCTCGATAGAATGGCTAAAGACAGTACATTATTTCATTCTTTCTGGTGGACATATTATGTTATTTTTTGTGCATTGTCTGTTGTCTATGTCTGGGAGATTCAGCGAACTACCCGATGCATATATGGAAATGATGATCAGGCATCGAGCAAGCTCTTTGATCTCGCAGAGAAGTGCCACAGTCACCTCAAGAGAGCGTCGACAAGTCTATCACAGAACCAACGATACAGCATTATACTAGATGAACTGCGATCCGAAGCGCAGAGATGCCGAGCTGCGATGGAAAGCTTGCAAAGTCAACGTCCAGGTACTTTTCACGGCGCTGAAGGACATGTTGCAGATATTAGCCTTTCATTTCCGCAGGACCCAGAAAGCTGCCTTAACACGGCCTTTCTCCAAGAAGGAGCCATGCCCGGGGTGTTAGAGAACCTCCAGTTTAGTGATTGGCAGATGCTTGACTCTTCGGTACGTGTATCGTTACAACTCCATTACAGCATGCTAAGTTCACTTAAAGGCCTTCTTGCCCTTATCGGACTCAAATTACGTCTCTCCCACAGACTTTCCTGGAGTTCAATGAGATTGATCGTCTCTGGTGGCCAGTGGAACTCTTACTAAAATGTCTTCCCCGCTTTTTGAACGGGAGCTACATCGGTGGGAATACCGGATATCTCGGAAAACAAGGCTCACAGCACCGAGAATCCGGAGTTGCCAAGGCTTCTCCGTGAACTGCGCCAACTTTGCTTGCTTCCCCGGATCTGCTTTTCCTGCATGTACCCCGTGGGGGTGCCAAGAGCTCTGTTAGCCCAGACCCATAAGATGATCTCGATTCCTGCTGTTGATTGTCCTAATTTACGCCCCCAAGACCAACTCCGTCAATATGACCGATAAGGATACTGCCGTGATGCACCTAGAGGACCTCCCAGGTCATGGAGCCTCTGCCGCCGATTTAGAGTTTCTGTCGAATTTTCCACCCGAGGCAAAGAAGAAGGTTCTGAGAAAGGTAACTGTATTGGTATGACGCGCGTGTGTGGAGCTTACTGACAATATCATTATAGGTTGACGTATGGCGTCTATCTCTATTCCTTCAACGAATGAGGTGCTGAGTTACAAACCAGATGCGACTCGTTCCAATGTTTGTCCTTTTGTACTTGGTTGCATATATAGACAAAACCAATATCGGTATGTAACACCCCCAAAATATATGCGTTCTGGCATTAACACTGAACAGGAAATGCCAAAATCGAGGGCTTACTTCCAAGTCTACACATGAGCGGCATACAATACAATATTGCCTTGTCTATCTTTTTCATACCTTATGTTCTAGCTGGTACGAGTCTCCTATGTGCGAACAGCAAACAAATACTAACGTGGCCCAAGAGGTACCAAGCAACATCATACTTAACCGACTCAAGAGACCGTCACAGTATTTAGGGCTGCTAATATTCTGCTGGGGTGTTATCATGCTTTGCACGGGCTTTGTTCGCAATTTTGCCGGCCTTGTGGTGATTCGATTCCTTCTGGGTCTTTTCGAGTAAGGTCCTAGGCGCATGGAACACTTTTCGCAGTAGTGACAAGTCATATAGGGCTGGATTTCTGCCAGGTGCTGTGCTAATCATATCGAAATGGTATCTTCCAAACGAAACACAGACTCGCATCGCTATTCTCTACACATCTGCTGCTTCTGGTGGAGCCTTTTCCGGCCTCCTGGCATATGCTATCGCTAAAATGGACGGAATAGCAGGCTACGAAGGTTGGCGCTGGGTAGGCCATTTCTTTGGAATATTTCTGTGATCCCACTTACTGATATCCATACGAGATCTTCATCATCGAGGGTCTTGTGACAGTTTTCATGGCCGTTCTTTGCTACCTGCTCCTTCTGGATTCCCCATCTTTATCCCCCAACTGGCTTTCACAAGACGAAATTCGATACCTCGAGGTACGACAGCTCGTTTCCAATAATCATAGTGGTCACCATGAAGGCTTCAACAAGAAGATAATCATCAGCGTCCTGACCGATTGGAAAATCTATCTCCTCATACTTGGTAATTGGTCCAATGCTGTCCCCAACTACGCACTCAAATTTAGTATGCCTGAAATCATCAAATCAATGGGGTATAAGTCAGCTACGGCCCAGCTTATGACAATTCCACCTTACACAGTCGGCGCCATATCAGCTTACGGCTTCTCCGTGTTCGCTGATCGCTTTTCATGGCGAATGCCATTTATCGTGATCCCCCAGTGCTCGCTCATAGCTTCATTTGGCATTCTGTTTTCGAAAGCCGCCAGCATCGAGAATAATATAGCACTATGCTATTTTGCGATTTGCCTTGCTTGCTTTGGAATGTATCCCATCCTCCCTGGTGTTAATGCCTGGAATGTGTGCAACATTGTTAATCCGCACAAGCGTGCTGTGGCCATTGGTTATCTTATCTGCGTTGGGAATGCGGGTGGTATCATCGGCAGTTATATTTATAAATCCGATGAAAAACCCCGATACCCTACTGGCTATGGCACCTCTCTAGCATTCGCTGCTGCTGGACTCGTGGCTGCCTTGAGTTTGGAGTTCTGTTTATGGAGCGCTAATAAGGGCAAGGCTCGGTTGGCTCTGTCTGAGATTGAGGAACTGTATACTGAGGAGCAGCTTCGCGATATGGAAGAGAAGAGTCCTCTTTTCAAGTATACTCTGTGAAATTATCTGTTATATTTGCATTTATGAATAGAGTTGGGGGGAAGAGACAGTACAATGTCAAAACATGGATGCCCTCGTCACAGCTCTGGGATGTGTGTCGTCCGAGCCCGAAAGCCCAATCTTGGCCCTTCCTCATCTCTAAGGCTGTCTGCACCCACCGAATAAGTATACCTGGGTATTTTTGACCATGATGAGGTCGCAAACATGGACCGTATCAGACCCAATATACAAAGCTTTCTTATCGGGCGTGGGCAACTATTCCTATGATACTCTAGTATGTTGTTGATGTTGAAAGGCTCAACAACATGACGATTATTGGTGGCTAGGCAAATGGCAAATGCAGACAAAGCTACCAGACAGCATCAGTTTGCATTATTATGGCATGACGTTTGCATAATGTACCTAAGACCTATATCGAGGTACCCCATTGAAGTAGAGTTCTGGATGATTGCTTATGCCATAGATTCTTTCATTTTACTTCAACTACTTGGATGTGACGCCCTACTGCTATAACTTCTGTCAACTGAGGGAGCTATACGGGTGCATTTTGGGCTTCGTTATAACCCTAGCGACCAAGAAGGCGATCTCAGGCCTATCGACTCTTACCAGCAGGGGCAAGATGAATGTTGTGTGTCAAAATCAGCGGCAAATATATAATTTTGTTAGCGCGCCAAATGCTATGACTACGTTATGTGTATCCGAATGTCGCTTTTTGAGGTTGAATGGAATCTATGCCCTTCCACTTACGTATCATTGGAAGGGTTACACATTTACATATATCTTCTTTTGTTCGGAAGAGGGGAATTTTGGCTTTAACTCAACGAAACGACTTTCAATATAAGTTCGTATCACGTTCGTCAAATAGGCGCTATACATGCTTCCTCCATAAAAGTGTGTCGTCATAATATGCAAATAAAGTGTAAATTACAGGACATTGTTCTTAAATTCATATGGTACAATATAACAATATAAGGTTTTTATGGATACGAGTACGACGTGGCGCACCCGCTGATACCGTTATGCTGGAAACTCTTCTTCTCGGATAATCTGTTCGGGTTAGTGGCCTACAACTATATCTGGAATAATGAACTGGACAAATTCTGGGTCAACAATTTATCTAGAAAATTATGCCCTGCCGTAGAATTCCCCTTCCCACTTATGAACCACGCCTTGTCAGGTTAACATTGATCGCAACGATTACAAACGTCTTTTGCGAGCATGGCATGGCCTCGTCCAGACTCCATAAGTGGTTATTCAGTATTTGGATTGACGATAGTCGCGTCTGGGATCCTTTCTTACTACGTTAGACGCGCGCTCAAGCGTCATAGACAGTTTCTTCAACGAGGTACAAGAATAATAGTGGATTGCCAGCCTCCCAACCGCAGACTAGAGTATATCTTCCATATGCTCCAATATCTTGGTTCAACACTGACTGTCTTCAGCGTCGTCGCGGTGCATGGGTTAGGCGCACACCCCGAATTTACTTGGACGACGAGAGGCCCAAACCAGTCTCGCGTAAACTGGCTAACGGACTTGTTTCCACGAGACTTCAGCAAAGCACGAGTCATGACATTTGGCCATAACTCTGACTGGTTTGTCCGGGCGAGCAACAACACACCGTTTGAAAATGCCAAAATGCTTTTACGAGCAGTAAACGAGGAAAGGCGTGAACACCACAAGGTCAGTCTTCCTATGATTGAGATAACCATAGGGAACACCTCAGAAAGTAACCCCTTGGCTTATACCGCAGTGTCCCATCATTTTCATCGGCCATAGCTTTGGTGGCATTATTATCAAAGAGGTAAGAGCACCATGGTCAGTCTAAAGTGACCTCACTGATCTGGTTCATCAAGGCAATATGTTTGGCGGAAACAGATAAACAGTATAGGGACATATTAGATGATACAATCGGTATCATCTTTCTTGGAACGCCCCATCAAGGGTCCAATGTTTCGCAGCTTGGAGCCTTCATAGCACGCTTGACATGGGTATTTGGATCCAGCCCAATATTACTGAAAAGTCTCTACAGGGATAACCCTCCTCTATCCGACTTACAAGAACGATTCATGAGCGTTATTCGGAGAAGAAAAGACATTAAGCTCGTCACGATGTATGAGAAGCACCCTACGTACTTTGCTCAACTTATTTATCTAGGCTTTGTAAGTACAATCACTATACGCTATACATACCACGAATACTTACGAAAAATGAAAAAGATTGTCGAGAGAAATGCTGCAGTGCTTGATGTGGCCGAAAACATTGCAGTTGAGAAAGATCATATGGGGCTGAACAAATGCGCCTCACCAGATGATCCGGCATATGACGCAATTCGTCAAGGCATCAATAAAATACGGGACCATGCGGAGAGCAGAGGCTGGAAGAAAAAATATTTAAATTGGTCCGAGAGGCCAAGGCTCTAGCTTACAAGTTGTGAGGGACCACAATTGCTGTGGTACTGCTGCAAGAATAGACCTCGGCATGCTCCGACTCAGGTTCCACAGATCGGAACTCACAACTCGAATCCGAGTCAGATCGTGATTCAATCATGTTCGAGTCATGCTTCTGATCCTATGCTCAATAAGCGCCAAATCGGACTTAATATCCTATTTTGGCAACCTTTTGCCAATTGCGATGTTCTTCTGCCATTATTGTAAACTTGCATCATAGTCATTAGGAGTCGCCCCGGATTTCTAGGCAATGAGAGAACACAATCAAGTTATCAACTGTGCGAGCTTAGTAGCTTGTAGTGCGCGGATCGCTCCCGTTTGAAATGCAATGTCGCCAGTAGATTACTGATGAATTGAATGAACCCAAGAAAACCAACTAGCAGAAGTATAATGAGCGGGCCAATGATTGAAAAGACGGTAAAACCATACGAAGCATTTTGAAATGCAACATTGCCCCCCAGCTTGGTAGCCAGCCCAACCTGCATTGCCGTCAACACTAATGCGACATAAACAGTCGTTGCAGTAAGTGGTGTTAGATAATCGTAGAACAACTCAGTATATGTTTGATATGTGAAGTGATAACCTCGTAGAATACTGCCGTAACGAAACATGTATATTTTGTTGAGTCGCGAAAGCCGAAGTTCGCCGAACAAGTAACGTGCATTGACATTTCCAGGGCTAGTAGCTCCGTTCTCCAAGAGCTCCTTGACCAATTCAACCCACATTTCCCATGTCACATTGTGTGGCATTAGGTGTTGGTCCTGGGCAATAGCAAAATCACTCTCTCGCTCAATTAGAGCAATATATGAGTATAAAAGCCCTAGGCCACATTCGTATAGATGTTTTTTCTGACAAACCCCCCCATCCCCTCTATCTGTCTGACAGTAAATATAGTTGGACATGCAGGGACAGGGCTCTTTGCAGATCAGGTAAGATTTCCAAAATTGATGGCTTAGGAGGTATCGCGGGAGCGGCTTCAGGTGGATACGCCGTGAAGGCTCCCAGACCATGTGCATGTCAATCCTCTCATCTAGCAAAATTTGCCGAGAAGTTGCGGTTTGATAGTTTAGGGGTCTGGGTGGCATGGGTCGGCCAGCCAACCACAGATATTTGTGAATACGGTTAAGACATTCGACAGAGAGATCGTTCTGTAAAAAGCGGGAAATATCCGTAGTAGGACTGTAGGGGGTATAATACTCGTCGCGAATGGCAGCAGGAGTGTAGAAAGTACTTGAAATGGAAACGTCAACACTAAATGGTGGCTTTGTAGGCATGCTTATACAAGAGACGGTAGTGAACCGAGTAGATATTAGGTCTTAAGTCGATAGGTTAGAGACTGACAGAACCACAGCTAGGGGACAAGCCTAGGTATATATGTTGCTTAGCTACCTTGAAAAGCCAAGATTGGAGGCTTGATCTGTTTCTCATTTGAACAGAGCCACTCCGAGGAGCGCCATCATCCGGGGTTGGCTGGGATCTTCGAGACCGGCCGAGAGTCTGGCGTTGGCAGGGTTAATGCACTAATACTAAGGTTTCGAGTGGACCAAGGGAATGATCGGCGACCCAAGGTTTACGTTGGTCATCTGCTCTTACCATGTATATCTTTCTGTATCCATTATCGATTAGTCTATAATTACCACTCTGTTAATGATTTAATACTCTTGATATTTAATTAGTCCAAAAGGGTTATATTAACTGTTCAATTTGACTAAACGGAGTATTATATACTACGGTATTGGGAAGGGTCTCCATTACAGCTAGATATGATTATACAATATATTATGTGGGAATATGAATGTTTAAGCTCCATCCAAGAATATAAGCCAGCTCTACACTGTAACTGACACATACGACCATAGGGTGTGGAAAATAGGGCTTCCCGTCCGCTCAGCCGTACTCAAGCCACACGCCGGGAGGTTAGTAGTTGGGTGGGTGACCACCAGCGAATCCCTTCTGTTGTATGTTTTTGTCATTTTTAGTTCATTAGCATTTGCTATTTGCACATATATTACTTTCCTCTACCATCCCGCATGGTGGGCGCGTGCGGAAGAGAACTTGTGTCGAACGTGAGTTTCAAATGGCTGATGCTCTAACGAACCCTGAGTAGAGCCGGTACTTCAATAACTTAAGTAGAGTCTAGACCAGAATGAAGGTAAGAACATCAGATTTTATCTTACCACCATGCATATCGCAGTACCGAACGAGAACAAGGTAATAGGGACGCTCCTCTACGTCGTCTCTGGTTGGTCTTCAAGCATTGTTTGATAATTAACCACCTATTTGCAGTTACTCGCAGTAACATTCTCATTTAGCTGCCTATAGCCCTGCGTCCTGCATGGGTCTGCTCTCAACTACCACAATTATCTATATTCTGCTCAATCTGATGGCCAGTGGGATCAATACTAGGTAAGTGCATCATCATGTTATGGTTGCACAAATTCATACAAGTTTATCATATTTCTAAAAGTCGGCACAGACAACCCAGAGGGTATCATTTTTTTCATTTCCCACAAGCCATTTCCCCAATTGTACGGTCAATACTGGGACACGGTAGTCTCAAAGTCTTCCGGCTCGCGACCCAGGAGCTCTCCTAGCAATGGGGACACAAAAGCGCCTTCTCCTCGGCGAAAGGCCTCAAAGGTGGTGGTCCACAACGCGGAATGATCAACGCCATGGTAGGTAAAATTAGAAGAAACTTGAGGTTGACTGGCGAATTCGTCCACAGAGACCTGGCGGATGCGCACAGAATGTTTGGTAAGCTTGGCCAGAATGGACACCGTTTCCCCGAGGGTCAGGGTTCGCGGGCCGGACAAGAGCACTTTGCGATTGCGATAGAGAAACCCGTCCGGGTCCTGCACGAATCTCTTAATGAGCTCTGCGGTACCTTCTCCGAGCTCCTCACGCTTCACCCACGCGATCCCCGGGCCCGCACCATCGTGGGTTATCTTGATCTCGTCGACAGGCTGCTTCGGATCAAAGAAAGCGGTATAGAGTGGGTAGGACTCGGAGTAGAGACCTTCGCGAATGACCGTGTAGGAGAATCCCACATGTTGCCGCGTGCATTCTTGGAGGTATCTCTCGGTGTCTAAGTGTGCCTGCATGACGTGTGCCACCGACTTATCGCCTTCTGGGTTCCCGCCGTAGCCTAGTGACCCGTAGAAGATATGTGTCACACCGCTGCGAATCGCATGGTCGATGGCAGTGCGGTGTTTCTATCCAAAACATATCGCGGTCAGCATGTTCTCAGACTGGGTGTGTCTACCTAGGGGGTGATTCTCGGAGTAAGTCGTACCTCAGTGCGATACTCATGTTCCACGGACGCGTAGGAAATTAGGAAGAGTACATTCAGCCCCTCGAAGGCAGCCTTCAAGCTCTCGTTGTCGTCGTAGTCAGCTCGCCGTAGAACGGCTTGGTCTACAGGTAAGTTCCTGAGTTTTTCGGGACTCCGAGCGATAAACACAAGCTTCTTGGATGGAAACCGTGGCAAGAGATGCTTGACGGTGCCCCCGCCAATACCCCCTGCAGCCGGGAAGACTCCGATGGTAGGGCTATCCATTTGGATTTGAGAGATATGCACAAAGTATGACTGGTGTCATTGGAGATTTCTTTGTCACATCTCTAAGCTTTTATAGCATTCTTCGAACTAATTTTGGCCTACCAGGAATTCCTGGTGAATTTGTCAGATTGTAATGCATTTGTCATCATGATGTGGTCGGAGCGCTTGAGAAAGTTGTAGAAAAGAGTATTGTCATTGCCCGATGAGTGAGGGATTTAACTATCGATAGTACGTTTCTTCTTTCATATGCCAGCTGCCATAAAAAGTTTCAGTCCGGTGGACCATTTGTTGAAGGCCAAATCCGAGTCCACCGGAGTCGGAGCGTTCCCGGCTGTGCATCATACGCCAATGGCGGATGTGCGGGTGGGAACGCCCAGAGACAAGCTCATACAACAGCGCCATTAGTAAGAAGATCATTTGCATCTAATTGACCCTGACATCACTACCCATACTTGGGTTTTTTTCATGAAATTCATTTACTTTCTTCGGCCAGATTGCGCTTATAAATACACACTCTCTTTTGCCTTTCTGTAGAAGTAGAACGACTCAATCCCATAGAGTGATATAAAGTCATAAAGGCCTGGCAGAACGAGATTCGAGAACATCGATTCGATTTTACAAAAGTTAACAAAGATGCCTTCCCGTTACCTTAATGCTGATGAAAGTGAGATTGTGGAGATTGCCAACGAACCGGCCAGCGGTGTAAATTGCACTTTCCAGTGCATCAGACGCCTCATCGCTGACGATTCCCTGCAGATTCCCTACTTCACCCCCAAGCAGACTCCGACGGCGGGCACCGCTCTCGTGCCCGCGCCTCAAGACCCTACTACACCGAAGCTGTTTACGCCGTTGTCTATCCGAGGAATTGAACTCCAGAACCGAATTCTGGTGAGTTGCTTCGTGTCACTTGTTTTCTTTCTTGTCCAAATCCCGGACATTCTGGACTAACCTAAGTGGCTCAAGCTCTCCCCTCTCTGCCAATATTCGGCCGAAGATGGGCATCACACCGACTGGCACTTTGCTCACCTGGGTGGTATCATCTCGCGTGGACCCGGCCTCTCCTTTGTGGAAGCCACTGCGGTCACAGCCAACGGCCGGATAACCCCGGAGGATTCAGGCCTCTGGAAAGACTCGCAGATCGGTCCGTTGAAGCGAATTGTAGACTTTGCGCATAGCCAGGGCCAGTTGATTGGAATCCAACTCTCCCATGCGGGCCGGAAAGCGAGCACGGTTGCCCCGTGGTTGAGCATGAACCGAGGCCCGGGAGCTCCTATTAAATCTGTCAATGGCATTGACCACGATGGCTTTGCACCGGTAAGAACCCTTTTCACTCTTCCATCCATCCAAGCTCCTGGACTAAAACCTGCCTTGCTTGTTGAACAGCGTCATGGCTGGCCAGACAATGTGGTTGCCCCGAGTGCGATCGCCTTCAAAGACAAGAACATCATTCCTCGGGAGTTGTCTTACGATGAGATACAATCTTTGGTAGTGGCTTGGGGTGAAGCCGTGAAGAGAGCGGTCCGTGCCGGGTTTGATGTATGTCTGCATCCGCTTCCCTTAAAGAGTTTTCCGTCATCTGACCCCGCTTGATTTCCGTTGCAAGGCAATCGAGATCCATGGTGCGCATGGATATCTTATTCACGAATTCCTCTCCCCTGTCTCCAACAAGCGGACGGACGAATACGGGGGAAGCTTCGAAAACCGGATTCGCTTGGCCCTCGAGCTAGTTGACATCTCTCGGCAGCATATGACTCCGAGCATGCCTCTCTTCTTCCGCGTGAGTGGCACCGAGTGGCTGGAGCACCTGGAAAATGAGCCCAGTTGGGACGCGAGCCAGACGGTCCGGTTGGCGGAGGCCCTGGTGGAGCACGGGGTGGATGTTCTCGATGTATCCAGCGGAGGGAATGATCCCAGGCAGCAGATCAAGGGGGGACCGGCCTACCAGTCCCCCTACGCATTTCAGGTGAAAGAAGCTCTGGGCGATCGTCTTCTGGTGGCATCCGTTGGTGCCATCACCTCCGGTCCGCAGGCTAATGACCTCTTGAACGCGGGGCTCGATATGGTCATCATCGGGCGCATGTTTCAGAAAAATCCAGGTCTGGTGTGGACGTTCGCTGAAGAGCTCGGTGTTGATGTCAAGGCAGCCCATCAGATTCACTGGGGGTTTGCTGGAAAGCGCCGTCGCCAATGATTACTGCTGGCGTAGAGTTGAAGGAATTACCAATCGCAACGGCTGAGTCTGGTTTTATGGTGGTCAAAAGGGTCATGGATGCGCGCGTTGGCGGCTTACAGAACATGGACTTCCAAATGTCAACCAATAACAATTGATTCGTAGATGAACCGGCATCAATCTGCCGCTGTACAGACATTGAAGGGGTTTAAACGGCTCACTGAATCAGTGATGTCGTATATATAACGCAGTCCAAAAGGAACAATTATGCCGTACTTTTTTCGTCAGTTCAGCCACACATATGAGCATTTCATGCACATGAGACATGTACGAGACTGGAAAAGTCACAGAAAAGCAAGGGCACATAGCTACCCACCAAATCTCAGGTTTCGAAGCATTCTATCTCACTACATACCAGTTGTATTTGCAATTTTCTATTTCCTCCTCGTTCAGCACTAATACAGAATATTCAATGTGATGCCCGAGTCTGCATACTACGTATAACGAGAAATTGACCCACTCGCTCCACCCAGGGTCTTTGCATTAATCCGAGGTCCACATCGGGCCCGCTGAATTACCATTTCAGACCAAAACGCGAGATTTTAACTTTCTTTACGTGGATCCAGTCCCCCTGTGATTGGTAATAGAGAGACCATCCATTATCTTTCAGGAGCGCAAACAGAAGCAGAAGCATGAATCTGCCTAGTGAACCGACTAGTCATTGTGAAATCCTCAGGACGTGTAGCAACATAACCCATCTGTTGGTCAGTTTCCTTTTCCCTTATTACACCTCGATGCATCAAGGAGTTTGCTAACCCTATCTCAACCATGATCAGATGTCCTATATGCCAGGAACACGTTCTTCTATCCAGAATTAACGAGCATCTCGATTCTAGCTGTCAAAGATTTATCGCAAACACCCACCTACAAAATACGACATCGTCTTCTCTTATCGAGAATGGCAGCAACTCACAAGAAAGAACGAAACAACTTCAACTGAAAGACGGCTACGGTTCAACGGAATTTATTGCTTGTGGTACCGGGGGATTGAAAAGAGCAGTCCCTCAACCACAGTCTACTATCGCACGAAAGAAGCCATACATAGGATCAGCAACGGAGCGACTACGTCTTCAAACTGCACCTTTAGCCGAGCAAGTCCGACCACGATGCTTCGACGACATTGTCGGTCAAGATTCTCTGATCGGCCAGAATGGTACACTCAGACGATTGATTGAACAGGATGAGCTTCCGCATATGATATTATGGGGGCCTCCAGGAAGCGGTAAAACTACAATTACGAGGATCATCGGGCCTATGATGAGGAGAAAGGTCTACGAGATCAGTAGCTTGACTACAACAACGACAGAGTACAGAGACATAGTCACGAAGGCCACACAGGATATGCGAGAGGGCCGGAAAACATCCATCGTGTTTTGTGATGAGATACATCGACTCACACGTCCACAACAAGATATATTCCTCGATGCCGTTCAAAGAAATAAAATTTCTCTTATCGGCGCGACCACCGAGAACCCATCATTGAACATCCACCATACCCTTGTCTACAAATGTAGGGTCTTCACTGTCACAAAGCCAACTTCCAATGACTTGGTCACTATCCTTCGCCGTTCGATGCAATCACAAACCCACATGAAGTCACTACCGTTTCTGGACAACGAATTCCTTCAATACATAGCCGGATTTGCTGATGGCGACAGTAGAACCGCGTTGAACGTCCTGGAGATAGCTACGGATCTATGCACACGCCCAGGAATGACCAAGGAGAAGTTGAAGCAATCATTGACTAAGAGCCTACTCTACGACCGATCGGGCGACCAGCACTATGACACTATTTCGGCACTCCACAAGTCAATCCGAGGCAGTGATCCCAATGCTGCGCTATATTACCTCGCTCGAATGCTCCAGTCAGGCGAAAACCCTTTATTCATTGCTCGTCGGCTTATTGTGGCAACATCGGAGGACATTGGTCTGGTGAATAATGTCTTACAAACATATGCAACTTCGGTCTACCTGATGATTGAGAAGTTAGGGATAAAAGACGCACAGTCTGCGCTGGCTCAACTGGTGATAACGATGTGTTTGTCAAAGAAGAGCACTCGATCTTATCGTGGTTTAAATAATGCTCTTGCTGCGGTGAAGGAGCCTGGGATGGGTGATCTTCCAGTGCCTTTCCACGCCTTGGATCGCAGGCCTGAGCTTTTGAGGGAGGTTACCCGGCTCATGTCCACTCACTCTACACAAACCCAGGGAGGGCATGAATCCACCCAGGGTTTTCTTCCACGTGTTCTCGAAGGACGAAAGTTTCTGGAAGATACTGATTTCTTGTTCAAACGAGATCCCGACTTGAGTTATGGGTGACTGCCAAAGGCCGCCACGGCTTGATTATCGGCGTACCAAGAACCAAGTTGTCGGTATCCGAACTGGAACTTCCATACTATTATATTGTTTTGATATAATGTATTCATGCCACGTTGTTTGCGAATACTGTTCTTGCCTCTAGTTTAGTGACAATCTGAAGTAGTGGACTGTTTTCCTTTTCATGAGTCATGCATATATACTCCCTCTGAAAAGGGTATGGAATACATAAGTGATGCTGATCTCACACCTAGCGTACATACATGACTAGTACGGCAGACTACAGTTCCATAATCAGGCATGTGATTCCGATACAAGCCAACTTGGATTTTGCGGCCATCTTCTTATGACTAAGGTACAAATCTGTCGTACTGGGTACCGTAATAAGGTCCACAGAGTCCTTTGTCCTTGCCACGGCAGCCGATAATCCACCATACAAACTGTTGACTGCAGCGCTGAATCTGATTCATGACTCCGAGATTAAGATGCCGCAATTTCTCACAGAAAATGGGGACTTGCCAGCATGGCTTACCCTACTAGAGGCCTCAGCCACGCTGTGTTGCTATGTGCCATTTTTGCCGACTGAGTGTGTCTGAGCCGGATGAGTCTCTTTTGCTTGTGCTGACGCCTTATGCACGACGGGTTTGGTAGTGTCTGCACTATACAGTGCTAATAAAGCCTTGCCCTTGACAAGGTCTGTGGGGTATTATGTTCGAAAGCCGCTGCTCCGTATCTGACGTATTCGGGTTAAAATCAAGTGCTGATCGACGCGGTAGTTGACCGGCTGCTGCCGTCATCCTTCAATCATGATTATTTAGAAGGTCTCGGGATTTTGAACAGCATCAAATGTTTTCGCGAAGCATTTAACCATTCTTGTAGTTCAATGTTTGGGGTTTGAGTAAATCAAACCCTATCCTAGAAGCAACAACCAGTCTTTCTGGAGCATGCGCGATAGCCAGAAGGAATGGTTACCATTATCTCGGTCATTCCAAAATTCTTCAACGAGTTGAAGAGCCATAAGATTTGTGGGAAGACGATTCAATGAATAGATGGCTCGCAGTCTTTCACGCACTTTATCGCGCAGGGAGTTATTTGACTCGGTCAATTCGGACCCGGCTGATAGGAGAGCGAGAGATTGGAAGTTCAGATAGTATGACGATGAAGGAATCAGTATCAAATGGCGTACTGTCTCTTCGGCGTACTTTAGTATCGACAGCTCTTGCGCTTGAGTTATATCCCGATCCGTGGAACAACTCCTCTGTGCATGAACTCGAGATTGATAAAGTAGAACGAGACCTTGATAGCGGAACGCTTCGTATAAGTGGACGAGGTCGGGATTTTGGGCGCTCGTCGTCCATTCAATAAGCTGGGCCTCCAGTATGGCTTCTTGAGTGAAGTTCCGATTCTGCGGCATATCATGTACCTTTCGGCAATACCGTCCGACATTGGCTATTGTAAGGAGTAGGCTGCTACATGTTCCGTACATCGGATGGTGCCAGTCACCCATCCTATGCACCGCGAGAGATATTATGAATGAGTTGATACTCTGCGGTTCACCGGGTTCTACTAAGAACGAACTGCACATGTCCCAGTAAAGATACACTCCCAGGCAGAGTCGAACCACAGGGTCATTAGTCGTCGACACAGATGTGTCTTGAAGCATACTGTTGATCAAGGCACGGGCACCAAATAAGTGCTGTTTGCCAAAGTCCTTCGGGTCAGGATCAACAACTTGCATAAAAGACAATAGCATTATGGTCAAGAAGTGCGTGTAGTGAGCACGTTGGACTTGATCTATCTCTCTTCGAAGGCAAGCTATGGCTTTGCCATGTTCCTCAAGGGCCAGAATAGGGGCCTCTGCCGGGAAGTACTGTTCATGGTTGGCACTGACTGAGTGGATGGCATGGAGTAGTGCTGGGGATTGGGCTAGATCTTTCAAGATAGGGAAAGAGAACGGATTGTTCTCCGGATCTATGACGAACGCTTGGCTGACTCTCTCCAGGTAATACTGTAGTAACCGTTGATTGACATGCGTTTTAGGTTGAATTGAGAGCCACGGTGCCTCAACTTGCCATTGTGTTAGCCGCGGAACCGACGTACAGACCAGACCTCGACGCTGGCACCGCTTGCACGTCGGGTAGCCTTCATCGCATTTGACCCGCTTCGCCTTGCATTCTCGACAGCCGAATTTGCTTTTGTTTCGCGCTCGAACCGGTAAACCCTTGTACTCTCGATGCGTAGTTGTATTTGCAGACTCGCTGACTATCACTTGTTTGAAACGTAATCCGCGGACCTCCATATCTGGTTGGATAGACTGCTGCATTAGAGACGAGGATTCGGGTAGGATCTGAAGAATCGCCACGAGGGTTGCCGTATCACCAGTAGATTACTAATATCATCCGCGACACCAAACCCGTTTTAACTTACGGTACCATATCCGATCCGTCCTGATTTCTTGTTTGTATCAACGACGCGGCTGCGATCATTCTGCCCCGGCGTTGACTGTGTCCATGTCGCGCGCATGTCGTTGAGAAAGCCCGAAAGTCCTCGTGATGTGCAGAGCGGCCAAAGGAGCCATGATCACCTGAAGCAGCAGCACACAGAATCTTTCTTCAGGTGCAAAATTGACCAGGTGTGAGGCGTCTTCTTCTTCTGTCTGCCACCGAGCGCAGACCAGTGGTTCATTTTCAGCGCGGTTATGTAGTTCGAAAGATTCTTGCTAGTGCCAGTCTCCAGTGTATAATGAGAGGTGCGGTATGATATGCCGCAAGCAGTCTTCGCCAGACCACCCACAATTTACCATAGAGGGGCTTTCGGTTTTGATGGGCAGGGGCGAATGACTGGTTTGGCAATGTGTTTGAGAGTTAGATGGTAAACCAATTATCATGGCGTTGTTTTGCCATTTGGCCACGCAGCATCGGTATTGGCTCGAAATATATCATGGCACGACTTCATGTTAACATACATTCGGGTCATCAGTGGCTGTGTCCATGGAAACTGTGAGACCTCCCCACTATAACCTTTTCCTTTTCTGGACAGATCCCGAAAATTATCCCAATCATTCGGGGCCTAAAGTGCCACGAAACCTAGTAGTAAAAACCCTGGACAGGAACTGAGAGGCACATAGCTAACTCTATTCTGTGAGGATCTTCACATCTCTGCGCCAGGCAGTAGCTGCCAAGAATGGTTGTCCACAATATTTCATTATTAAGAGTACATACAAATCGCCGCTTGGACCCACTCTAATTTCCTTTTCTGTCGAGAATGCGAGGTTGAACAGGCGCATTGGGAGAAGGTTTCGGCTAGCTTATGGCACCTCCGATGTACTTCAAGTCAGTGATACCCTGATAGTTGAATACACCTACTAGGAAGCACCATCAAGCGCTGCCTCTGAAATTCCCAAGAAGCAGACTTCCGCTGACTATCGAAACTACCCACAAGATGGATAAGTTGACCATGGATGCGACCGACATGTCACGGTTCGACGCATTTTCCATCATCTCCGTCGGCTATAAAACAGTTGGCGACCATACAATCACTGTGGATGTGCTCTATCCCAAGATCTTGAACGACTCAACGCAGCAACACAAGTCACCCTCCGGCCCCCGACCAGTCCTACTTCGCTACCACGGTGGTGGCCTTATTGCGGGCTACAGTCTCTTTCCTCCATTCTTCAGCCCGTGGTATCTCGAACTAGCGCAGGAGTATTCAGCCATCATTGTTTCTCCAAATTACCGACTGTTGCCAGAATCTTCTGTACTGGATGTGTTTGAGGACGTGGAAGACCACTGGCGTTGGATGCATCAATCGCTTCCCGCACTACTGCAGCGGGAAACAAAAGGTACCTTGGAGGCAGACTTGAGGCGTATTATGACCGTAGGTGACAGTGCCGGCGGATACCTCAGTTTGCAAATGGCTTTAAATCACCTAGACGAGATTCGGTCGGTCAATGCCGTTTATCCTATGGTTAACCCGAAAGCACCCTACTTCAGCAGTGGCCAGGAGCGACCTGTGTTCAACCTCCCGACCTATCCACCTGATACGCTGAAATTACACCTAGACAGTGTTAGAAGACAGGAAGCAGTCACGCAGAAGCCTGTGGTTGTATCTGCTGCTGCTGACGCTGATCGATTCCGCTTAATGTTTTCGGCATGCCAGAACAGCCAGCTAGGGCAAATCTTCCCAGAAGCCTTCATAACCCCCTATCTGCTTGAAAGGCTCGATGCAGGAGCACGCTTTCCACGTGGTGGAGTCTTGGTACTTCATGGACGAGATGACAGCGTGGCCCCCGTCAAAGAGAGCTATGCATTACAGGGGAAACTTGCCCAGGTTGACCCAAATCTCAACTTTCAACTTGTCGTGCGGGATGGGGAGCATGGGTTTGACCATTTTGCTAAGTTACATGATGATTGGTTATGGGATGCTATTCAAGACATTGTTAGATCCTGGTTAGACTGAGAATTTGAGATTCTGCTGAAGGCCAGAAATGCGCTCCTTCAATACTTGATCTGTAGGTACGGAACAATGAACTACCCGCCAGAGACTTGAAATGATGTATCGGGTCTATATGGACAGCAGATGGATTAATAAGTTCACACATTGTATTGGGTGGGTAAATAGGGGCTTGAATAGAGCAGCAAGCTACCTAGACGGTGCCTGGCGACCGCTACCGTACTAGGCTGGTGTATCTTCATTCTCTTCTTCACCATATGTATCTCACAATTGTTGTTTCTTTTACTAGAGTTCTTGAGGTACGGGATTGTCGTGGTGTAGCTGTTCCTCAAAATGAAAGTTTTTATTGTTTATGGTGTGTTTTTCGCTACTGATGGGTAGTTCGACCAGAAAGGGAGAAGATCTGCCATGTAAGATGTGACCTGTTTTAGCTAGATGAGATTGAGTCTCAAGTTTTGTTAGGTGGTCTTGTGTGTCTTGTTTATATTAATATGATACTATCTATAGATGAGGGTTGAGTATGTTTGACGAAGCATCATGGAAACAGGAAAGAAAAGCTTTGATGCGCAAGAAATTCGAATATATCAGGCATATTAGCCATTCTAAACCAAGTGAACTACACCTCGACACATTCCGGAAAGAAACTCGCCTATGCATCACAGAATTAAATGTGCCCAATTCCACAATTCTTAGGAACATAACCCCGAGCATCCGTCGCAGAACCAGCCGGTGCAATAGTCAGTCCGGAAAAGTCACTGAAAAAACCAGTTTCGGAGCTGCTAAAAGCACCAGACTTGCTGTAGCCATTCGGCTGGCAAGCGCGGCCCAAGGCGGACCTGCAGGATGCGACGTTGGCTTCGCTGGCGCTGAAGAGCTGGTTCTCGGACTTGGCGGGTGCGACTTCGACGACATCTTCGAAGAAGCATCCCTCGAAGATACCACGGCCCTTTTCACCGCCCTCGATGGCGTGTCCAGGGATGGAAGACCAGACGCTGTTCACTGCGTGGAAGAGGGTCGTGCCGGAGAGGGCGGGGCCACGGCCGGTGGTGTGGTAAACGTAGTTGTCTGATGAAGAGTTAACTCAGTTAAATGTATGTATCATCAGGTTTCTCGTGAATTCATACTCTGGAAGGTAATCTCGTCTCCTTTGCCAACTAGCTCCAATGTCCAGTAGTGGTGGTCATCACAGCCTGCGGAATGGGTGGTCTTGCCGTTCAGGAAGTTGTTCGACCAAGTCATGCGGGTGTTGGGGTGGAAGCCTGTAACGTAGTGTTGGCGTCCGATGAGGGAAGTCTAATTCATCAGTTAATATTAGTAACGCAGTTATGGCTATCAGGAACTGGAGATGTCTGTCTTACCTCGCAGTGGTCGATCCAGATCAGGTCAGCGCCGAAGAAAGTAAACGCGTCGCCACCCCAGACAAAACTGTATTTAAAGACATTAGAGGATTGATGTGTTATAAAGCATGCGAGAGCTCGTAGTCTTGGGATGATACATACCCAGGGTTGAGATCCGTAATCTTAATGTTCTGCACAATGATATTGGAGACACCACCCTCAAAGTAGAGCCCCTTTCCACTGAGCACGCCTTTATCTCCCTCACCAACAAGAGTCTTGTTGGACTTAATATGAATGCCATTCTTGGCAGCTTTATCGTACGTGACGGTTACGGCGGGATTTTTACCACACCATCCATTGGAGTTGATGGCCAGCTGGCAGGCCTTCCCGGTACCCCAAGGCGCGCATCCAGCTTCGGTCGTGGTTCCCTCGGTTCCGATGAAGTCGAAGGTTTTGGTGAGAACGACGACTTGGGGCTCGTCGCTCTCAAGTAGGGAGACAAGCTCCTCGTTGGTTTTGGGGTAGCTGGGGGTTGTATCGCCACCGCCAGTCACGCCGGCTGCGAAACCCTGTGCGGCACCTTTGACGACACTTGCACTGGCCAAGGCGGCATTAAGACAGAGAAGATGTAGGAATGAGACCTTCATGGTGAATAGGAATTGAAAAGGTATAGATCGGTTTGACAGACAGGAGTATTGTCCAGAGGTCCAAACCTTCATTCTTATGTACTTCAGGTCACCTACCGACATATCAAAGCCAAGGATTGAATTTTGCCGAAGAAAAGAACCCCAGTAGCTACAGGGGTCACTGTTGTTACAAAGTGATCATAGTTCCTCCAGCCAAGAACTACTCTGCCCCACTGTAATGCAGCCGAATGCACAAGGAGGAAAGACCTGCAGTGACAGTTGTTTCAGGTATATATTTGTTCATGGCACACAATTCTCCGACTGGAGTTTGTCTCATACCCTGAAAAGGATCACGGGCATTCGCCATACTCTGTGGGGAATCAGATATTGAAGACTCATTGTACACATTCACATTGTATACATTCATTGGTTTGTGTTGGTTGTTTCCCCTGAGCAAGCTGCCAAATCAACCTTGAATTACAAGTCTTGGAAACAACCTGAACATATCTCTTAGACGGTGGCTTTTCTCCACAACAATTTGCTGGCTTTTTTGGTTGACACTGACGCCATAACCAACTGATTTGGAGTGGGTCTGCAAGACCCTGTGAGAACTAACTTGAAGAAGTGAATTCCTGGAGAACCCTGACCCACCCTCCCGAGACAGCCACGCGGCTTTCCGCTCAACAGCCGAACGGGATGTAACCCGTCATGGCTCAGAACAAACAGACCATGCATATATGTCACAACTCTACATATAGCTCCTTCATTTCAGAATTCTTATGATCACATTGCATTGCAGAGTGCTTATCCAGATTATAGATGCGCTACTAATCAAACCGCTCGATGTCTCAGGCATCTCTACTACCGATCCTTCTCATACTAACGATCCTATTTATGGTACCTGCATCGCGGGGAATACTCGGACCCAGTCGGTGAAATTACACGCAAAAACTGGAAATTTTCCGAGTAGCTCAATCCTTTCCTTATAACCAATCTATGAAGATCTGGAAGAGGGCACTCTACGAGCTCAGGCCGAGGATGTCAGCTTTTGTGGCCCCTGTCACATGTTTTACACTTAACTTGGCGAACCAGTGGGTGAAGATGTAGAGAAGACGGTCAAGGGATAGCATAGCTAACTGTCAGTTCTCGGCCGTCCTCGAGTCTTGGATCATCACGTTCAAATTGAGGTGTATGTCCCAGGCATCCGTGTTCTAGTTACAGTACGTGTGGGGATCGGTTAGCAGTAGACTCTAGCAGATGAAGACCACTGATGATATAAAAGGTCGCACGTTGGCAGGTGCACCTGAATGTCCACTTCCCGCCAGCATTGTCGTACTAAAATGTGGTGTCCATGAAATTCGCAGCGAGATTGAAACAATTTAGAGAGTTGAGCATCGTGAGCTCGGAAATGGTGGCATGGTGCAGTCCGTTCGTGCCCAGAAGGCAGGGAGGATGACACTGGAATCTTAAGCAATCGCACCACCAGAACTAAACGGTTCCTAGAGTAGGACATCAAGATCAATAAGCTAATCACAATGAGTTTGATGATAGAAGAGGAATTCTTCACCATGAATCACCCCCTTTCCATTGCCATAGATGTTGGGACAGTAATCTCTCCGTTGCTAGTCTGACTGGACGCGATATATCGTTTTTAGTCTAGCGGTTAGCATCCCGACAATAGATGTTCACGTTATCGGCTGGAAATCGCCAGAACCGACTCGCAGTCTGGAACCAATATTGTAATGCCTCGGTTGTCCAGAGATTGAGATGCTTTTCTGAAAGGGAAATTGCCCAAACGGCGAAATCAATGAGGCTGGTGATCAATAACCAGAAGGATTATTGAAAAACTTGATCATAAAATTTGCGGGACGTGCCAGCTGCTCTCGTGCGCAAAGTTTTCCCATACTTTTTGACAGTTGCGGTCAACAAGGTCAATGCCAGTTACACTGTGGAACTTGAGCACATCGACATATGTAATCCAAACACCTTTATAGTTGAACATTTATTCCTGCTTTTGTAAAGGACAAGCACATACGACCACAGGGTGTGGAAAATAGGGCTTCCCGTCCGCTCAGCCGTACTCAAGCCACACGCCGGGAGGTTAGTAGTTGGGTGGGTGACCACCAGCGAATCCCTTCTGTTGTATGTTTTTGGGTTTATTTTTGTCGACGATAGTTAAATTTCTAGATAGATGTTATATTACGGGAGAATAAAGATCTGCATCACGTTGCATATACATCCCACGAAAATCGGATAGGTAGAGGCGATCACCTAGTTGGGCAGCTGGCGACGAGTCAAAGCTAGGCGATAGCCGAGTCCAAATAGCACACTTCAGTATGATATGTAGTTTTCTTCTGTTTTCAGTTGAGCCCATGAACTATACGTACCGTTTTCACCATTGTAATCTCCGAAAGCTCCTAGATCATAAGACTTCCACCGCTTTCCACTCCAGTCAACATCTGGCCTTCCAACGGTAGATCACCGCATTGCCAGTAAGCAGACAACATATCTTAGAAACAATGTTCTTGATACCAATGAATAAGTAACAGTCTCAACTTGCAGCTTACGCCCATAGAATGGCCCGTTATGTGGCAGTTAGCACTTGCTACACCTTCCTATCGATATCAACAGGGTGAGATTAAAATGGCATAATGTATAACATCGGTATTCAAAAGCAAAAAAACTTATCATCAAAGCCAATTGTATTTTCACCTTGTCCCTCCAAGAAACTTGGTCAATAGTTCTCACTAAGCAGACCATGAACAATGGTTTGGGACTAATAGCCGCAGCAACCGGCTGAACAATCCAAATATGATCTTCTTTCCGCCATTATCTCTATTATGAAGTTCCAGGACATTTGAGAAAACGGTCAGACTTCCATTGAGAAGTTGAGAATTTCTTCGTGAGTAAATTCCCGTCATTGGAGCACCTTTCTCAGTCTGTAGCAGATAGCCGAAAGAAACAGAGGTCATCCAGTATGACCTACTTTTAAAAGTTTGAATATTCAACCCAAGCTGGCACTTTCCTAATGCTAAGGCTTTGCAAATCAGGCAATCTCTCAAACATAATCCGCTATGCGACAGGAAATTTCCAGGTATAATTCAGGTTTACCTGCCTGTAGTGAGACGAATGTTGCGGAAACTGCCACATCAAACTTATATACTGCGAAACAAGTGCTACCTACAAAAAATATTAGATGACGATACCATCACTGAAAAAGATATAAGAAGCCCTTGCTCACCCAGCATTTTGGGAATTAGAACAGATCGTTCACTCTCATCTTTCTCAACGAGTACAGCCAAACGATCCTCTCATCCACCATTCCAACAACGCCCAAGACGTACACCCATCACCATGCCTCAAGTTGTCCCCGAAATCAATTATGTCCCTAGCACCCTCCTGCACTCGACCAGCCACCTCAAAATCGAGTACCTGGAGCTATGCGGAACTAAGCCCGAAGAAACGCAAGATACCATTGGCGGCACCAACCTTCACCTCCTCACCAACATCTGGACACTCAAGATCCAAACCAAAAATGACCCGGACACCAACACCGGCGCTATCAGTCTCATCCTTGACCTTTCACCCCTCGGACACAGCAGTCCCTGCCGCATGCATGTCACAATCACTGACGAGCCTCGCAGCCCCGCTTATGCCAAAAAAGAGAAGATCATGAAGCGCGTGCAACTCCACGAAGTGGAATATACTGTCGGGGGTCTTTGTGAACTGATCGTTGCTAATGACCTTGATAGATACAACTATGTCAATAATCGTTTTTATCAGCAGAACAGGCATTGGTTCAAGAGGCTTATTGATGAACTTGGGGGAAATCAAAAAATAAAAGAACAGGAAGTGAGGGATGCTCAAAATGCTGTCTCCTTTGTTTGGAAGGGGCCAGGAACTGACCACCACAATCACGTGGATATTGCAGTCGGGTCTACCATGGTGAGGGGCACTATTGATCGTCGTGAGAGAGAGGACCTTGGTTTCTGATGGTATGAACGGGGATGATTTGGGGGGGGGCAATGTGTGGCTTGCGTGAGTGCTTGAGATTGGTTTTGGTTTTTAGGCTAGGGTACTAAATTGTTAAGATGCCTAGGAATCAGATTCTTGGATTATGAATTTTGCAATAACGTACAGTCATGTAGACTGCTTCGGAGTAAATCTCTGTAATATTATCGATTAAACTAGTAACGAGTAGAGTGCCTGGTACGTGCATATCCTGATAACATGCCTGATGGGCTGTACTCCACCACATATGTCTTTTCTCACTACTCCGATGATTACTATATGGGATGTGAGGTACTAAGCCAAAACATTCATGATTACTATGACTATATGTAAACATTATTTCTTCTTAATCCCATCAACCCTCAAAGTCAACGGCTCGCCCTCCCTATCCCACGATACAAGTATACTCTTTGAGACCTTTTCCATCTCAGCTTCCCCAAGTGTCTGCAGGTCCGGATGCTCAGGCCCCTGCGTCACCCGACAAGCCAACAGCGCCAGCGCTGATGACTTCCACATCCCCACTCCGTTAGACCTCGCAGTATGAGCGACAATCAAGATCAAAAACAATATAGACAAGACAGTAATCACGATCGGAGCCGCGGCCCAATACCAGCGCACAGATATATACGTCTGGGTGATAAATGCCTCCCCTGTGATCGTGGTGCTATTCGGCCCAGCGCGAATTCCCTTCGTAATGCCGACGGCAACGTTCTTCATAACGGGGCTGGCGTCTTTCCCCTCCTGCACAGAATACGTCCACCCAGCTTCAATTTGGTCTGAGAGGGATATGGTAGATGTGAAAGAGTTGAGGATTTGGAGCACGGTATTTCCTGAGATGGTATAGTTACCATTGGTTGCGAAGTTTAGGGTTGAGCTATTCACTGGAGCCAGCTCGTTGGGGTAGAACATTTGGAAATACTTGTTTTTCGTAAAGAGCTGCTCCGTCTCAGATGCTTCGAGTGATTGGTGATCAGAGGTATGACTGTTGTTTGTGTATCTCTGGGCGCAGAAATACAGGGCGCATTCAGTGATTTGTGGCTTTGGTTCCAGAGCAGTGTAGTTTTCGGCGGTGTATAATATGTTGGGATTGTCGTATATCGCCGCTGCCAGGCCAACTATCGGATTTAAGATCCCAGCAACCCGGGGTCCTTGGGAACTGCTGAGGTTTAGGCGATCCGTGTCCGTATTGGCGAAAGTCCATGTTTCCTTCTCGAGATCAACTGCGTTTCCAGATCCAATGTCTACCGTGGCCGCTTGAAAGATATCCGGCGTTATCCGCAAGTCTCCCGGCGTGGTATATGTGCAGTTTGGTCTGGCCCCTTGATATGCCGTGCCATTGAAAAAACTGGCATACGAGCTGTTTGAGGAGAGAGCCGTGCAACTCTGCAGTGATTGCGAGGTAACATCCTGGCATCTGCTGCATGCCCCCAGAGTATCGAAGGTAGGATACTTGCACGAGCCTGTACTGCAGGTCGGCTCCTGGGTATTGTCTGACCCATAGATGCTTTGGAGGATAAGCAGACTCATAGTATTATCACTGTTTGCGTTGCCGGGTACGTAGGCCTGGGCAGTTTGTAGGGAAGCCGTCTCATTTGTAGCGGGAACAATACGAGAAGGAAAGGTGAGAATCTGCTGGGTCAAGGGATCGAGTGCGGCCGACAGAATCAAAGTAACTGCGCCGAGAGTAGCCAGGCTGGGGCGGTTGGTGGTGATCAGTTGCAAAGAACCCCAGATGCCTTGGCTGGCCTGATCAAGAGCGTATAGATCGTATAGCCGTCTTTGGCTGCGATAATGATTCCATTTGAGTTGACTGAGACAAACTCCGACCGGGAATAGCAGTGTAGCTCTATTGGCGGTTGCTATCACCGCGACCACTGCATTTGGAGAGACTCTGTATGCCCAGTCGGCATAGGGCATCCCATCCAGGTGGTTTAGCAGCACGATCAGAATTACCACACATGCAACGCTCAATACGGATGCACCAATTTCCCATCCCCAGGATAACAAGCCGGTAGGGGCTTTGCTCTTCTTCATAGCCGACCCATGAATCTCTGGGGGACCCTCAACTTCACGAAGCAAATGATTTTTGGACGACCCATAGTCGGTAATTGGGTTTCTCTGGCTAGGATATGTTCCTCTTGAGTCGGAGCGGGAATGTTCGCGATCGGATTCTGGTCCACGAAGGCAGCGCTCCAGAGACCCGTTAGATTCTTCCGATGGACGGACTGGACTTGGAGGGCGGGAGACCATGATCGAAGCCAGTTTTGCTTTATCTTCTCAGATTACAGGATGGGGTAATTGTTGTACCTCCATAATAATCTGCGGGGAGTGAGAGTACTATATGGGACAGCCTTGCAGAGCCCTCCGTAGCCGGAGGGCTTAGCGCTTATTTCCCTGCCACGCACTAGTCGATCCCTCAACACTGCCAGCGAATGAACAGCTACAGTGCTTCAGACCCTCTTAAAGGATCTTACCATCTTATATGAGCTACTTTCTTAAATGTCTTGGCTCTCATCTTACTTGGACCCTCCCTCCTTTTTGGGAAGTCAATCTCTCTCACCGTACATCTTTTGTCCAGCTGGCACAGCCCGGTTGCTTGACTAGCCTAGGGGGTTAAACTGAAAGAAAACAATATTGGGAAATATGAGGCTCAAAGAGCTTCTAATTGATCCCTTCGAAGTTCCTCCTGTCCGGTGTGATGCCGGTACTATTTTCCGTGTCTATATCACGTGTAGTAGGTGTTGGCGATTTGAAACCCTACGACCTAACTTACAGGTTCTTTCTTTTTCCAGCGACCATAATATTCTTTGATACAGCCAGTGAAGACTAGAAACAAAATAACCCTTGAAGCGTGTGGAGATTTTGCTATTACTATAGAAAAAGATAATAAAAAAGCAAAGAGAGTATCGACTTTGCATGGTCAAAATGGGAGCCAAGGCCGGAACACCACAGAATACAATTTTTGCCCTTCTCTCGTCGTCAGTTTACCATGTGTAAGGCTTTGTGCCTTCTTGTTTGTCTTGATCATTCTCTACCATGATAAATTCTTCTGCGTCCGAGTTTTCCTGCGTTCGCGGTAATCTTTCGGTCGGGCGAGATGCAAGGGGCCAGATTTCCCGAGGAATGCGCTCCTTGTGAGAGCCAGTGCTATGGAATCTTTAGATGTTTCACGGGTCTATAAGACATACCGTATCTTGGTCCTTAAATGCTGTGGATCCAGCCAGCCACATAGTTCATACTATATAGTCGAGCTTGATCCATGGTTCTTCCCCATCGAATCTAAGTCACAGAACCCACTAACAAAATGTACTTCTCCCGTCTCCTCCCGGCTGTGGCCCTAGGCTCAGGTACGAGTGCCTCAAGAAATCCTCATTACTCCAGAACTAACAATCACGCAGTTCTAGCCACCGCAGATATCGTCACCTACTCCCCTCCAACCGAACCGGGCCTGTGCTACAGCATCACCATCCCCAATACCACCACCGCCGCTGGCTCCGGCCCCATCTACCTACAAATATCTGCCCCCGCGACTCTACAATGGGTCTCCTTAGGCGAAGGCGCCCAAATGGCCTCTGCGAACCTCTTCATTCTTTGGGCCGCCTCTTCCACGGAAGTCACACTGTCACCGCGTTCCAGCTTGGACGGTGGCAAGAGTGAACCTCAATACAACTCCCTTGCAAATGTTACTCTCCTCGCCGGCTCGGGGATTGACAACGGCATTATGACCGCCAACATCCGCTGTGATAACTGTCTCTCAGCCTGGCCAACTCCCGCTGCACCTCCTAGCGATCCCAGTTCTGTATATACCTTGGACCCTGAGGGGACCTCCACACCTTGGTTTTGGGCTTCTTTTACTGGACCGTCCTTGAACGACCCTGACCCTTCGGCGGACCTGGCGATGCATGATGATTTAGGTTCCATGCAACTCGACTTGAGTCAGGCACAGTTCTCTGCCGCGGAGGCTATAACCGATCCATCATACAGTCCCTTCCAATAAGCTTGAAGAGTGAAGCGGAGTCTAAAGAAAGCATAATGGCCAATCCCGGTGGAGATGGCAGCACATGTGAAAGATGGCTGAGCCGGTAGATGTGTCTAGACGGTATTATATCCGAATCCTGCTCTACAATGATATCAATAAAAACAACATAATTTTCTGAGCGTTTTATAATACATATCGTGATTTGTATGAGAGTGACCCGACTCACTGCCAAGAAAGCACAGTGCTATTTGGGTGTCAAGAATGCTTAGCTCCCCCGGCAGCAGCTTCGGCCTTTGAAACTGAAATCATATTGGTTGGGCGTTCATCCGGCTTTTGAATCTTCCGCATTCGCTTGTTCCACCCTACAGATAGGGTAGTATATAAGCTTCATGACAAATCGATCTGATTATTAGTAGTTAGAGACATTGTAGACTCGCTCTGACACAGGCGAACAAACACATGCATGTTCTTCGCATTACTGTACGTTGCAGTAAGTAGTATACCGTGCTCAGATGTACTTGGTATTTACCCTGACTACTAGTAAAACTTCCAAGGTCTCGATGAGCAAAATGCATTCCAAAGGGAGCAACAGAATTATGTCCAGAATTACAGGAAACCGACGTTGGCCTCGCCAACGTATCTGTCCCAGTATATTATCCATGTGCTTAGTGGAGAACTATATTCGCCTACTAGGATGTTTTTATTCTTTTAAAATTTCCTATTATCAAGTCATTATCACGCAATCAACATGGCAATTCCAGTCGAATGACCGATAGGGCAGCTGTAGGCCAATCGGTGTCTGAAACTCGGTGTTTGATACCGGAGACTAAGCATCCCAGTGGAGCAACTGCGTCTCACGTGACCATTCATACAATGGTATATATTGTTCAATACTTTTTGCCTGAGACCCAGCTTTGCCATGATTCAGAGATTATACTGCCTGGAGACTCGAATTTGTACCATTGAGACAGATATTAAGTCAGACCAGTTCAACATGTTCCTAGTGCCCGACTCTGTGATCCCACGTCCAGCCACAGACGACTACTACAACGTTGGCACCTACACTCGACCCATCAGCACTACTAGCCAAGATGCGCAGATCTGGTTTGACCGTGGCCTCATCTGGTGCTACGCCTTCAACCATGCCGAAGGCTACCGATGCTTTGAGCAGGCCATAGCCCATGACCGCAACTGCGCCATTGCCTACTGGGGCCTGGCCTACGCGTCAGGGCCTAACTATAACAAAGCCTGGCGTCTGTTCGATCCGGTTGACCTCAGACAAAGCATGAAGCTATGCCACGAAGCTGTACAAAAGGCTCAAGAGCTCTGCCAAACAGCTTCCGTTACTCCCATCGAGCGCGCACTTATAGAAGCCATGCAAACTCGCTTCCCCGTTGACCATCCCGCCGAAGACTACGATCAGATCAACCACGCCTACGATGCAGCAATGAGGAGAGTGTATGATCAGTTCCCCACTGACCTTGACGTCATGGCTCTCTACGTAGACGCAAAGATGCATACAGCGCAGCGCAAGATGTTCCACATCAAGACTGGCCTCCCCATCGAGACATCTCCCGTCTACGACGTGCAAAAGCTCTTCAAAGATGGCTTGTCTCTTCCCGGCGCAGATACCCATCCGGGTCTGCTTCATTTCTGTATTCATTTCTGGGAAATGTCCGCCACTCCTGCCGTTGCGCTCCCGCCAGCAGACGCTTTACGCCATCTCGTCCCTGACGCTGGGCACCTGCACCACATGCCTACTCATCTCGATGTTCTGGTTGGCGACTACCGTCGCTCAGTCGACTCGAATACCGCAGCAGTCCAAGCGGACGAGAAATTCCTCGCCCGCGAAGGTGCAAAGAACATGTACAGCTTCTACCGTCTTCACAATTACCACTCGCTCATCTACGCGGCGATGCTCTCCGGTCAGTCCAAAATCGCGCTGAAAGCCGTAGACCAGATGGAAGCCTCAATCACAGACGATGTCCTCCGAGTAGACTCTCCACCACTAGCGGACTGGCTCGAGTTCTTCAAGTCAGTGCGTGTACACGTCTATGTCCGCTTCGGACTCTGGGAAGAGCTCAAAGCACTCCCAATCCCTGAAGATCAGGACCTCTACTGCGTCACCACAGCCATGATGCACTACGGCAAGGCAATCGCATTGGCAGCTACAAACAATGTCTCTGAAGCTCTGAAAGAACGCACCCTCTACGAAGCGGCTGCTAAACGCGTCCCTCCTAGTCGGAAAGACTACCCGAACCTCATCATCGATATTCTGAAGGTTGCGACGGCCATGCTAGACGGCGAGATTGAGTACCGTCGTGGGAACTTTACGCAGGCGTTTGAAAGCCTTCGCGAGGCAATTCGTCATGACGATGCGCTGATGTATACTGAACCGTGGGGCTGGATGTTACCTACGCGACATGCGTATGCGGCCTTGTCGCTGGAGCAAGGCCATGTGGAGGAGGCTGCGAAGGCGTATGCGGAGGATTTGGGTCTAGATGCGGAAATTACTCGGGCGCATCAGCATCCGAATAATGTGTGGGCGCTGCATGGGTATCATGAGTGTTTGGTGAGGTTGGGACGTGGAGCAGAGGCGCTTATCATTAAGCAACAGTTGGATGTTGCTTTGAGTGTGGCTGATGTGGACATTAAGTCTTCGTGCTTTTGTCGGTTGGGTGTGCAGGGGTCGCAGTGTTGTTCATGAGTTTGTTCGGGTGTATATACATGAGTCTTATAGTGGAAAGCTTTGTGTTCGATTGATTGACTTGTGAAGATAATCTGGTCAAGTTGTGTTCTTAGCTAAGACGTTGAATCACAGGTGGCCGCGAATAATATCTATCCCATTGAAGGGAGTCATCAAGAGTCACATATCCAGGCATCTGTGACTCCCCCCAGCATACTTTCATCCAGCCAACATCCTCCTCTGTACATCCTTCTAGTGGCTCCTCTTCTGGATCAGGTCCCCCGCGTTCTGCCAGCTCTTCCTCATCCAATTCTTCTGGTTTCCATTCAGCATTGACTAGACGAACAAATCCTCCATGTATATCATTATCTGGCGCACTCAGGATTGATTCCAACGCTTCTTGATCTATCATAATAAAAAAGCGGTATCTACCGTTTTTTAAATGCCATAAGTGCCTGGGATCAATTTCTTGTTCCTGTTCCTCTTTCACTGCAGTCACAGCCCACTTATTAAATTTATCACGTAGTGAGGCCACTGTCATACCCTCAAAAGATCGATCTTCCAAGACTGTTGGAGTAAATCTGGCGAGAAGATCTAAACCATTATAATACTGAAGATATTTTTCAACACGCTTGTAGAATCGGATCATTAATTTCTCCCAGTCAGAGTCACTTTGATATGTGCAACGATAGATAATAAAAAACCCCATTTTTTAAAATTATCTTTGTCTAGAAGTCTCTTTAGCTCATCGGCATTGTTCATCCCGCTCTCAATCTCAGGAGTGCGTTTAGAGGGGTCCTGTCGCCGCGAAGCCATTTGTGTTGGGATGAAAGGCGGCGTGATATGTACAAGGCGGGGAGCGGGAGGACGAATAAGAAAGCGCAGGCGAAGAAAGCTTGGTTTGTTGCTGAAGTACGGGCGGCGGCGGAGAACACTTCTTGCAATCATGAATGCGAAATGTCTGGGTGGATGATACAGAGCGGGAAGAGTTGTTGGAGAAAAGTAGGTGGACGAACTGGGGACTGCCTCATAATAAGGCCGGTGTGGCGGCAGGTCGAAAGAAAAGGGTTATTCCGTATTTAGCGCTAGACCACGCCGAGCTGTAAGCCCGAGATTACATTCTAACATCATACTTGGTATACCAACCATGTCCACCAAAACTAACCATAACCCCCTCCGACATAACCTTCCTCTCAACACTCCAAGAATCCAAAAACTCCGTAGTATTCAAAGTCCTCTACCAAGAAAACCCCTGCGTTCTAAAAGTAGTATGAACTCCCCCTCCCCTCCCCTCCCCTACCCCCAAACTCACTGCTATCCCACCCCCTGATAACACCAGTACCACGACCGCGGCCCCTCAGAGCATGACCCCCCAAACCGCGAAGTCAACCTCTTCATCGCCGAATCAACAGCCTACCAGCGCCTACAGTCAAAAGGCTTCTGCAGTAGGGGCATCATTCCCGACTTCTACGGGACTATCAGGGACATTCAGCCAACACTCTGGCCAAATCTCAACATGTTCCTTGATGATAAATTACCACCCAACGCAATTCTCATCGAATATATCCCCAATATGCAGATGATAGGTCTAGAAAACTATTCGGAACAATGCATGACCAAGTTCCGTCAGATCCTTGATGACATCCACGAGGCGAATGTCCTGCATGGTGATCCGATGCCGAGAAATATGATGGTTTCGGTATGGGGAGGTGAGGAGAGGGTGCTCTGGGTGGATTTTGATTCTGCACAGACGTTTCCTGAGGATGGGAGTCATTCGAGGCAGAAGGATTGGGTGGAGATGGAAGATGAATTGGTGGATTATTTTATTGTGGCTTTGGTGAGGTTCAGTGTTTTCATATTGTTTGTGTGTATGTGGAGGTTTCATGCTGACTGGGTCGACAGGGTGAGGATTATAGGGATGGGAAGCTGAGTCGGACGGTATCTTATTATGATGATTATTTTCCATTATGATGGTTGAGGTGGGGGAGGAGATTAGATGGATTCAGTATGGATTGCTTGAACCTACTTTTATTCAACTCATTATGCGAACGTCTGATCTTCTTCCACGGATGATGAATATCTTACGTCAAAGTGTAAGTATATATGTTGTGATTCAAGCTAAGCTATTCTATTCTAATTTCCCCTTCCTGTTGGGAAAGAACAGTTCAGACCGTGAACAAGAAAACAATAGTAAAACCCGGCATGACTTCGCAGGAACGCAGATACGGCGAGGGTGAAAGACCACCTAGTACCCCATTTCCTCGCACCGAGCAATTGCCTGATCTATATCATTCAACTGGGGGTTGTCCGTATCATATTCCAGCTTATCTGAATGCATTTGGATTTGCTGGGTATTCACCAGGATACGTCCGACGACAAGCCTCACGCGCTGCACCTTGGGACAGATTATTTTATCCCTGAGCAGTTTGAGGACTTTAAGCCAGCCCCCTTCAGGATCATAAACCCGATAGAGGACGAGTATCGTTAGGTGTTTTCCATGCAGCTCGAGAAATCGAATGAGGTCTTCAGTGCTGATGTCCACATATTCGATCGACAATCTCCAGAGATCCACGCCGGTCTCCAAAGAAGAGTCCACCCCGTCAAAGGGATCGATAGCCAGTCTCATTAGCCTTCTCCACCAATTACACATAGGATGTACCGGGAAGCCATGCCACAGCAGATACTTTAGCTTCCAAGCTTGTGAAAACAACGAGGTGAACATATGGGCAATATACTCCCTGCTTGGCCCGTCAGAGGGCTCGCCCACCGTCAAGAAGACCAGCTTATGCCATACAATACTAACATTGCTGGGGGGAGTGTAGTATTCACATGGTACAACCGTCAGCAACTCTGTCGTGGGTTGAATTGAATCCTTCGTGAACAGATACAGATACTCAGGCTGAGTCCCGGCATCCGTAAGGGCTGAGAATATGATTTGAAGAAACTTGCCGCTGGTGCCGTTTGCACTTCGTGGGGACCGACAATATTCGATAACTATGGTCTTGATGTTCGAAATCTTCTTCACCGCGTCGGAAATCTGGCTAGTCGCCGGGAACGAGTCAATTATAGAAGTATTTAGCCAAGGAGGTAAAGTGGACGCCATCTGCCCCCCGTTTGGGAGCCTTCTGGGTTCAAACCAAAGAGTCTCAGGGTATGAGCAAATAGCCTTATTGTATGCCACCTCCAATAGGTGACAGAACCCTACCATGTCATTGGTAACTCTGATTTCGATCGATTTCGCTTTCAACGAGGCCTCTTTAGTCCTGTTGCGTATCCCTCTTGACACAAGCTCGAGTGTCTTACGGGTGGGGTCATCAAGGCAGCACACAATTCGAGAGTACAGTTCAGCAGGTATAGTGTCCAGTTGTCTCAGGTCCGCCCACGTATTCACTTCGCCGAGCTTTTGTTCTTCAAATGTCTTTCTGATAAACTCTCTTCGGAAAATTGGAGTCAATTGCGTCGTCATAATGAGAGAAGGGGGCTAGCACTGAATGAAAGATGGCAGTCGACAAAGTTGAGAGTAGTGTTCTATCTTCATCGTGAGAATCCAAATATCTCATAACTAGTCGGAGAAGATAGCTGAAATTGTCCTTACCTAAATATGCGGTCGATCGTGACGGATATTTCTGTAGTTGGTACTGGTAAACGAGAACGACAGACGTGGTGCTTCAAGTGCACCAAGGCAAGGCCATATGCTCCAGAGATATTGTGAGAGACCGGCGTATGGAAAAGGTAAGAGCACCTTGCTCTACTACTTATCCTGGTCCCTTCCGTCCGCAGTTCCGCAGTCACATCATATGGGTGGGTAGTTGTTACCCTTTGTGCTTATCATAAGATCTTCTACGCCTGGGGCCTGTATTTGTGGCCTGGATCTGGTACCGGAGCTGGGGTTTGTTTGTTATCAATCTATCATTCCTATTTAGCTCTGACGGGAAGTTGCTTCTTATCCGTAGGCCGCACATCTCCTACCGTTGGACATATAGAAACCCTATGTAAAAATGGCGTCTTTGTGTAGTGATGCAACCTAAGTCACTTGAGCTGGGATATCGTCCGACCAACCCTCTTCGTCAATTCTCTATTCGTCTAATCACTCATTCTTGTGCGCTCAGGGAGAACTTGCTCATAATACTTAGCTATCTAGTAGCACACACCCAAGTCTTCAGTCCTGAAACTGGCCGTTCTAAGATGTTGTTCTCAACTGTGGGTTAATTTCTAGATAACAGTCCCTGATACTTTCCAACCCTCCCCTTCTCCTCATATGCTTCCTCCGCAAATTGCACGCCTCCAAAATCAGTCCTAACGCAGAAAGTCGAAAAGTCAAATGTGCAAAGGAGACCATTATTAGGGCAGCTCAGTGGAACATTGATACCCTAACTATCAATAACGAAAGATCAGCCTTATGTCTCCTTATTACAAAAGTTGGGGTAAACAAGGAGGTATATGCCAGTTCGATGGGTTACAGTAGGTGATTGGCATTGGTCCGTTCCCATTGTTGTCGGTATAGTCATGTTTTAGCGAGGAACCGGAAATGCAGTCTTTTCTTCGATTTAGTATACTAAACCAATGCAAGTGAAATAGACAAAACCACAAACATACCAACGTTGTTGTCTCCAGTACCTCCGTTGCCGTCGCAGGTTTGAACGCCGCTATCAGTTGTGGTGATGGTGCCATCAGCAAAGTCATTAACATTCCAAGTTGATCCAGTGATGACCAGGCACCCAAGGGCGGAAGATGAACAGCCTAAAATTGAAGCAGCTGTGGCCAGAGCTTTCGAACTGTATGCGACCATCTTGATGATTGATAGAGTAAAGCCTCGAGTGTAGGAAGTGTCTTGGGTTTTATGTGAGATACAATGCCTTTTGTGTTTGTGGTGCAATGTCTTTGCAAAATATTCGGGAGACGTCTCTGATCATGGGCTACTTATATAGATATCTAGTATTCTGGTTCTCCATCCATCGTCCGTGGCCGCAGCAACTGCTCAGGGTCTTGGTACCTAGATTGCAACCAATAGTCGTCCATGTAGGTGGTCTCGTTGGATAACCAGTTCTTGGATGCCCTATCACTGGCCGCCTTGGCCGTTTATTGTCGAATTATGTATATTTGGCCGCCAGGTTGTTTGATGCATTGCCCCGGAGTGCCTGTATTCAAGCGGGATAGGTATATACCTACTTGGAACATCTGCTTAATTTTCTTACAAAAAGGTTTTCGACTACAGCAGTACCCTTTCAGTTTCTAGCTATGGCTATGGATAGGATTTAGTTTCATCCTACTTCACTAAGTTGATACGATGCCGACTCTCCAAGAAATTAGAACGCGACATATGGAGTGTGTTTGTATTTGCTTAGTATAGAGATGCAGACGTAAGTCTGACACAGAATGATAATGGTCGACCTGTATAAGTATCAGTACCAGTAAAAGCATCAGCAGATAAATACATCACTAGAGATACACAGATGGAACTAAACTAACTACATGATTAGTAGTGATCGTCCGACTCTGTCCACCCGTGACTTTTTACCCGCCTCGGCATCTCCGCTTCCAGAGAAACCCGTACATGCAGACCAATAGCAGCTTTAATATGTTATCCAGGTCTGGGAGGTCTGATCTGTGTAAAGGGGTTTCTTCTCAGTTAGCACGAAGTAGACCACTTTTTTAAAGATAAATGTTTGTTGACTAGTTTCATACTTGTCACCCGATTGTAGATTTTTCAGCTAGGGTTCATGAGATTAAGGATTAGGCCCGCGATATCTGAGGGAAGAGCTCATTACTTGCCTTATATGGATGATGACTGTAGATCTCTCTTAGTACAGCCATGATTCGCTGCATACATAGAAACTGACTGTCATGAGAACTAGACTACCTTAGACAGAGACTGGACAAGCAATGATGATTCAGTGGCTCCTCTAGAAATGCTATTGGCTCACCCATGACAAGTCAAGCTAACATCATGGCTGCAAGAATAAAAAACCCAAGCTCTTCCCACTATTTAGTTCTACATACATTTCGCCTTCTCAATAATTAATGCTTGAGCATATCATCATTATCAAGAATGGCGCATCGCAACTGAAAAGTTAGACGATTATCCGAGAAGCCAAGCATGACTTACACTATCTAACAGCGATACTAACCCTCCTTGACATCTTCCTTACTTCCAAACTGACGAGTAAATGCAGTGCCCAACTCCCCCTTATCTCTTACAGTCCTTCTCACAGCGCTATCTCTCCATCCATCCCCAACTACGCAACGCATGACACTTCCACCCCTCGGAGAAATAGCGATACGAGCTACCACCCATCCAATACACATTCAACGTATGAAGCGGAGAAATTGCGGAGCCACGCAATGCAATTCTGCCACCTCTCTACTATCACGAAGTGAGGGGGTGTGAATATCACGAAACCTCCCCAGCAGCGACACGAGGGGTCTAGACGATGGTGAATGTAGGACGATCATGTAGGTATGAGTAGAAGTCAGTGGCTATCATTCACCTATGGTCCGTGCGAGGGGGTTCTTTGTTCGTTGTTGTTTGGCTCGGAGAAATAAGATTAGGGCGAGTCTTGCTGCCGTGGTTCGGTCCCGCGGCTGCAGGGCGTCTGGACCAATTGGAGAATTAGCTTGGTTAGGGGGGTGGATTTGGTCTATCGAGGGATAGTTATCTACACTATTGCATTTGGGAGCGTGAATTTGGAGGTTTGTTTGATTGATGTGTTGGATATTACAAGCTAGACTATTTATATGGCTTTACTCCCCAGGTATCACTTTCTGTTGGAGCACTTGTCCCATAGAGAAGAAATTTAGTACTCGGCATCTCAGAGAATTCAACATGGGTGCTATGTCCCTTCCTTCGGACGAGATCCCCCAAACTCAGACGGTGGCTCTCGTTCGAGAACTGGGTGGCAGTGTGGAATTCCGTGAAGGCTATCCCGTTCCTACCCCAGGGTCGAATGAGGTATTAGCGAAGGTGCTCTACACAGGCGTCTGTCAGAGTGGTCAGTCTTAGAACATCGATCATACAAGTCATCTAGATGGCTAACACGTTCGGGAAGATCTACATACGAAAAACGGCACCGCCGCTGGTGCTGATGGCAACCCAATCACCAAGATTAAACTGCCGCATGTTGGAGGCCATGAAGGCGTCGGGCAAATTGTGGCTCTGGGCCCCAACTGTGACCCTGACCTGAAGGTCGGTGGACTGGTCGGCATTCGCTTCGCTAGTCGGATTTGTAGGAGATGCGAATTCTGCTTAGCCGGCACGGAACAGTACTGTGTCAAGGGCACGAACCACCTCCACCATGAAGACGGCAGCTTCCAGCAGTATATCGCTTTGGATGCCGACAATCTCACTATCCTTCCTGACGATATAGATCCAAAGGTTATCGGGCCGGTGCTGTGTGCTGGAGTCACAGCGTACAAGGTAAGTATCAGTTCTACGCACGCATGAAAAGATCTAATCGCCGACTGTCTGTAGGCTGTTCTCAATGCGAATATCCGGGCAGGCAACTGGCTCGTCGTTGTAGGTGCCGGAGGTGGTCTGGGACATCTGGCTGGTAAGTCTGGCGCATTATCGCGAGGCTACCACATACTGACCAGACAGTACAATATGCGAAGGCACAGGGAGCATTGGTGATCGGTGTTGACGCTGCCGACAAGCGAGATTTTGTCCTTGGATTGGGAGCTACCGAGTTCATTGACTTCACTTCAACGGATCCGGTGCAGCGGGTCCATGAAATTACCGGTCTTGGTGCGCATGCTGTTGTTGTGACTGCGGGAAGTGCCAAAGCGTTCGCCCATGCCTGTGACATGCTGCGGGTTGGAGGCACTCTAAGCTGCGTTGGAATCCCGCCGGGCCGTCCAGTACTGGAAACTCCTATTTGCACGATCGTAATCAAAGGCCTCCGGGTTACCGGAAACCTTATCGGCTCACTGAAAGAGTGCATGGAGGCAGTAGAGTTGGTCCGACGTGGGGTTGTCAAACCGGAAATCAAAGTTCGCACGTTCAAGGAGTTGCCTGAGGTGTACGAAGAGATGGAGAAGGGTGACATTGCAGGTAGAATTGTCCTTCAAGTTTCGCAGTAGCTTACTCGTGCTGTATAGTTCAGAGAATAGCAGTTCTGCAGTTCGTCATATCTCTTTGACAGGATCAGACACTTTCACCCACTTTCTATCCATAAAGATTCCAGTGCGAATCAGCGTCCTCCTCAGGAGAGTCCACATGCTTTCCAGTGCTGTGAGCGTACTCCCCATCGTGATCGAATGACCAAGGGTTATAGTCCATTCTCAATATGCGCGCAGGGGCTTTAACCAAAGCCTCGGCCGTCTTACTATGCAGTATCGACTTCAGCATGAAGTCTTGCTCTAGGAAAGGTAGCAGCTTCTGGTACAACGCGTGCAGAAAATCATGCGGCCGCATTTGAAAGTCAGAGCATGTCTGGACACACGGCGTGAGCAGGACCGTATCCGCGAGTGAGTTGGCAATCTCGAAACACTTCAATAGCTATTTCAGACTTCAATTAGTACGCTATCTTCAATGATTGCAGAAGACATACCTGGTCGCGTCCCAATGGCAACAGGTCAGACTCAGTAAAGCTTTGCAACGACATCAGGAGGTCACGGCTGACCACGGCTGGGAACCTGAACGTCATAAGTCGAGCACCCGATTTCGACGAGAGCAGATGCCGAGACAGAGCTTTCTGCCATATGATGGTCCTCATCCATTCTTTCGTGATGCAGTAATCAGCAATACGGGTGGACGGTCTGTCGCCTCGGCCGAACGAAAGCATCGACAAGACTGTCTCCGTCTCTGCCAGACTATCCGCCGTCAATACCAGTTTATCACTGGCGTTGGTGCTTCGTCTGGAGGAGAATCCGTCAAATGTGGCAAAGAGTCTGCCGAGCTCCAGCAAGCCTTTCACATCTGCATTATTGCCGACATCGACCTCATCTGGTAGACGAATAGGAGTGGTATACGAGGGTTCGAGACCAAGATGCAAAGAATAGCCCCTAAACCGTGTCAGCTAAAGTGAGCTACAATCGAAGTGTGGAGGCAGTTCCTACCTTTCAGAAACCCACAGCAATAGAAACACGATCTCCTTATTAGCAACAACATCCGCATCCAGCTCAGTATCATGTCCACCCACACCCTCATCCAGCTTCAACAGCCTAGCACCATACACAGCCTCTCGTATGAACAACATGGCCGAGTCCCTCTTATTGATCTTGGCATGATAAACATGCAGGAAGAAGGAAACCAAGACGCTCCTCAAGTCGAGATGTGCTTCACGCATCCTCATACACTCCGTCGCCATCATCGTGCTATCAACACTCGTTGGAGCAAGCTGCAGCTGCGCCATGGTGGCTGCACAGAGAGCCATAGCCAGACACAAGGTTCCCACATCCGGTGTGCCATGTTCAAGCTTGTCCAGGAGCGCTTCCGCATCGACAACCGGCCACACACTGTAAGAAGCCTGCTGATACGAACGCACAACTGAGACTAGTTCTTCTGTTGGGATAATAGTCGATGCAAGTCGCTCTGCTTCCACACGGGATATCTCCTCGTCACGAGGATCAACATGCGGAGGGATCAGAAGACCGGTTGTCAGGCGCTCTTCTCCCTGCTCACCAGTATATCTCCTTACCTTTGGTCCCCTCCTCCGTGCGGGCTTCAGGTAAGTGCAGTTGACTTGCTTAGGGGCACTCTGGCAGGTATCGCAAGGCCAGGCACCGCTGCACTTGACCTTGCGGGAGATACACTCATCGCATGCACGCTTTGTGAGTCGATGGCGCATGGGTAGGGGATGATAATCACTAAATCCCAGTCAGATAGCTAACGAAGGAGATAGATGGATGGATGGATAGATAGATAGGAAGAAGGGAAGATGAAGGGAGTATCCGAAGAGAGGGATGAGATGAATGATTAGCTGCAGATGAGGGGAAGCAAAGCAATTGCGGAGTCAGAAGACCGGCCATTCATTAGAATCCCGATTGCATGCAGATTCCACCATTTTCTCCACAGCCATAATTCCATTCCACTTGTTCAATAACTTAACAAAGTCAATATAACAATGTGACCCATAGTTACATGGACATGTTATGATGTGGCATGACAACAGCATCCCAAATATAGAAGGAAGTAAGTAAATGATCATGTAATCATTTATGTAACAGACTACCCCCACACCCCCAACCGAGCTTAGCAATCAGGACCCCTCCTGTCATTTACTCCAGATCTTCTACCTACTTCTTTCCTTTCTTCTCTACTACCTACTTATTCCTCCTCCTTACTTGGTTGAATCCCTTCACAAAGCCAACAAACACACCCATCCTCTACAAAGAACCCATCAATCAACCCTCTACCAACCACCCAAAATGGAAGACACTCCCCTCCCCCCCGCAAGCACCGACGTACGTCTACCCCACAATCCCCATCCCATCCCATCCCTCCTCTTCAAACCCCCAGCTAATAACCGAAACAGCCCCGCGACCTCGCAGCCCTCGAATCCAACCCCTCCGTCCTCTTCCCCACCTTCACCTCCAGCACCGCCTGGACACTCGGCCTCGCCCTGCGCGAGCGCATCCTATCCCTCCCACCCACACAACGCAAACCAGCCTTAATCTCCATCACCTTGACGGGCGGCTCCGAACCACACGTCATCTTCCAATGCGCGACCGAGCCCGGCACGGTAGCAGACAACGAGGTGTGGGTGCGACGGAAGCGCAACACGGTGTTGCGATGGGGCGTGTCGAGTTGGTTGATGAGACAGAAGATGTTGAGTTCGACGGGGGCGGAGGCGAGTGAGGTGGAGGCGGCGTTTGTGAGGAAGTTTGCGTTGACGAGTAGCGGCGGTGGAGGCGCGGCGGATGAGTTTGCGATTCATGGGGGTGCGTTTCCCATTCGTGTGAGGGGCGTGGATGGCATTGTGGGTGTTGTGGTGGTGAGTGGGTTGAAGCAGGAGGATGATCATCAGGTGGTGGTGGAGACGGTGAGGGAGGTTATTGCGAAGATGTAAATGGATCATAGTGTATTATATTTAGAGAATTTGTACTAGAGTGGATTGTTCATATTGTGTTGTGTGGTGGTTATGTTACGTGTATAGTCTACAAAATTAGAAGTCGAGTTTGGATAAAAGGTATCATGCAATTGCTGCCTCTAATAATGTCAAGGTCAGGTCAGGTATCATACTCGGTTGGACGACTGGTCAGCAAAAACCGGGCCAAAACAATGGTCTCAACAAAAACACACAACAATCAAAATGCTAACTCCATAAAGATCCCTCTAATGGTATGGTAATTTTACAATTCATCATGCCCGCTGGGCTCGTCATCCTCGTCCGCCGGCGCAGAGCCATACAGCTTGCTGGTAATCGGGTACGCCACGTTCGAGAGCTGCTCCTTCTGCTCCTCGAAGTCCTCGGTGGTGGCGGTGGCAGCGTTGTCCTCGAGCCACTCAGTCACCTCCTTGACGGCGTCCAGGATGGTCTGCTTGTCGTCCTCGTCGATCTGGCCACCCAGGCCGTTCTCGTCGTTAACCTGGTTCTTCAGGCTGAACGCGTAGTTCTCCAGGGTGTTGCGGGCCTCGATCTTGGCCTTGATAGCCTTGTCCTCCTCGGCGAACTCCTCAGCCTCGGCGACCATGCGGTCAATCTCCTCCTGGGACAGACGACCCTTGTCGTTGGTGATGGTGATGGACTCGGCCTTGCCAGTGCCCTTGTCGCTGGCGTGAACCTTCAGGATACCGTTGGCATCCAGGTCGAAGGAGACCTCGATCTGAGGAACACCACGGGGAGCCGGGGGAATTCCGGTAAGCTCGAACTTGCCGAGCAGGTTGTTGTCCTTGGTCAGGGAACGCTCACCCTCGTCTGTGACAGTTAATTAGCAGGCATTCCGGGATATTCAATCTTAGCATGAGAATACTTACAAACTTGGATGAGGACGGTGGGCTGGTTATCAGCGGCGGTAGAGAAGATCTGGGACTTGCGGGTGGGGATGACAGTGTTGCGGGGGATGAGCTTGGTCATGACACCACCAGTGGTCTCAATACCCAGGGTCAGGGGGTTGACATCCATCAGAACAACGTCGCCGGTTCCCTCCTCACCGGAAAGGACACCACCCTGGACGGCAGCACCGAAAGCAACAGCCTCATCAGGGTTGATACCCTTGCTGGCCTTCTTGCCACCGAAGAACTCCTCGAGAAGAGCCTGGACCTTGGGGATACGGGTGGAACCACCGACGAGGACAATGTCGTCAACCTCGGACTTCTTAACCTTGGCATCCTTGAGGACCTGCTCGACAGGCTTCAGGGTCTTCTTGAACAGATCCATGTTCAGCTCCTCGAACTTGGCGCGGGTGAGGGTCTCGGAGAAGTCCTCGCCGTTGTGGAAGGCCTCAATCTCAATACGGGTGGACATCTGGGAAGACAGAGTACGCTTGGCCTTCTCAACCTCGCGCTTCAGCTTACCCATGGCCTTGAGATCCTTGGTGACATCAACGTTGTTCTTCTTGTTGTAGAGCTTGACGAAGTGGTCCATGACACGCTGGTCGAAGTCCTCACCACCCAAGTGAGTGTCACCAGCGGTAGCCAAGACCTCGAAGACACCGTTGTCGATGGACAGGAGGGAGACATCGAAAGTACCACCACCAAGATCATAGACGATGACCTGGCGCTCATCACCAGTCTTGTCCAATCCGTAGGCGATAGCGGCGGCGGTGGGCTCGTTGACGACACGGAGAACGTTCAGGCCGGCAATGGTACCAGCGTCCTTGGTGGCCTGTCTCTGGGCGTCGTTGAAGTAGGCGGGGACGGTGACGACGGCGTGGGTGACCTTCTTTCCAAGGTAGCCCTCGGCGATCTCCTTCATCTTACCAAGAACCATGGCGGAGACCTCCTCGGGGGTCAGGGTCTTGGGGGTCTGGTTGACATCAACCTTGACATGGGGCTTGCCATCCTTGTTGACGACCTTGTAGGGGAAGTGCTTGGCGTCCTTCTGGACATCCTTGTCATCGAACTTGCGACCGATCAGGCGCCTAGAGAGCGTTAGCAACAGATTGCCACGAAACTCGCAAAAAGCAGGAAAACTCACTTGATGTCAAAGATGGTCCGTCTGGGGTTGGCGGCGTATTGGTTCTTAGCGGCGTCACCGACCAGGCGTTCCTCATCGGTGAAAGCGACGTATGAAGGGGTGATACGGTTTCCTTGGTCGTTGACGAGAATTTCGACCTTTCCATTCTGCATAACACCGACACAGGAGTAGGTGGTTCCCAGATCGATACCAATGACTGTTGAGAACAGATAGCGTTAGCAGAATCATTTCACTCCCCCTGGGAGACACTCTGCTTACCAGTTCCGTAGCTATCTTGAGGCGAAGTCTCATCCTGAGCGTGTGCAGTGCCGAAGAAGGCGAGGGGGGCAATGAAAACAAGCAACAAGTAGAAGATGGTGGTCCAAGCCGTGAAGGGCTTGGCCGCACCCTGATGCGAGATGCGCGCCATTATGTGTGAAATGTCCTTTCACCACAGGACACGTAGTAGACTTTTTTAATCGACGAGCTGCTCAATTGGAGACAGCAGCGAATGAATGTGAAAGAATCCTCCTATTGCTCGTACACGGTTTTTATTTCCCGGCACGAAGAAAGAAGGAAAAAATAGATACAGTCCAACCCAGATGAGAACGGGAAGGAAAGAAAGAGCGAAGGGGGGAAGGGGGGGAGAAGAGAGTTGGGTGAAAGAAGGCGACGACGGAGAGAAGAAAGAGTGTCTCGAGAAGCTCCGGCCAGCTTCTTGTATGGCTTGCCAGCGGCAAAGAAAGCGCAGCGGCCATGCTGGCCTTTTCGCGGGTATCTGACTTTAAGGTTACTCCTCGGGCTGTCATTGGTCCGCGACGCGTCCAGGGCAGGGCTGAGTCAGCGTGCACGGCCACCGCCCGGTGGTTCTGCCGGCGGAAAAATGGAAGGCGTTCGTCCAAATGGGGAAAGGCGGTCCACCGAACTTGCTAGAATCGTCGCGTGATTCGCTCGCTTCGGTTAGGCGTTCTTCACTCCTCCAGGGGCACTTTGCCTCTTTCGGCACTTGGACAACTGGCCGTTCCGTTCCTTCGGCGCCATTTCCCGGGAGATTGACCCTACTCTTACTGAAGTCCGGGGGTTGACGCTGAAGATTGAAGAAAAGATGAGAAAAGGGGCCAGCCTGTCAACAAGTCGTCAATCACCACATGGCCAGATTCCACTATTGACCATCATTGAGTCAAGTCATTACTCCTTTTTGAGTCACTAAAAGATCACCCAAGGGTCTTCCGCTGTGAAAGTGGATACATCCCTCCCCACTCAGGAGGCGCATCCCAGCTTGGCCTGATTCCTGAATTATTGATCCAGCCAAGGCATCAGGTTTCTGCCAGCCTGGCCAGATCGTTTGATCTCTGTTTCAGTGGATGTGGGCTGAAGGGACCCTTTCTAGCAGCACTCGTAGTAGTGTATGAGACAAATATACGGAGTAAGTACTCTTAAGTTACATAATAGTAGTAGATTGTTAGTAGTACTTGTGGTAGTAAAGTAACCATCATATACTTAGAAAATCAATACATACTGCTTAATTGCTGATCACGATTATTATGATCAGTAGTACTAGTTGACTACTACATAGCGGACCAACTTGGTGCGCTAAAGTGGCGCGGAAAGAAATATATATATATATGTTTGAAGGCGACCATGTAAATACTGGGACATACTATCTACATCAGAAATATATATTGTCCAGACAATGCAATCAAGCCCATAATCTACTCTAGCAACCCAGC